AAATGGTTTTACATGTGCGTTTTCTCTTGAAATGGTTCGATAGGAATGAATGAAACCAGAGAGCTCATGGAACGACAGAACGAGAAAAACATGGTGTTTGTTGCCTACTCCAAAACCAAAAGGATCCACAAAAACCCATGTGAGCGAAAAAGGGCTCACGATCTTAAGCCAGCATCAAGATTGGAGTCTAAACCTAAGTGTTTCAGATCTCAATGTGTCCCTACCCAGCCATCCATTCACATTGAAAGATGTTAACATATGCAACCGCGGCTGGGTGATTCTTCAAGTGGCACAAACCACACAAATGACCCACCCAACCAGGGCACTCCGCACCAGCGCGGAAGGGCACTGGGCAGCCCGACAGTCTTGACGCCCTTCTCCAACTCAGACTGCAGGGCACTAAACACGTGGCCTAAACGGCGATGCGCCGGGGTAGGGGCGGCGCCACGGGCGAACGGCGCAGACTGAACAACGAGACAAGAGCGCGGCTGCCGGTGGCTTTGCGTTGCTGTTTCCCACGATGTCCTACCCAGATCGATCCATTTGGTTTGGCGAATTCATAAGGAGGATTCCCTCTTCTTGACTTAACCTCTATATATAATACAGTAATTACTAATTGAGTTTCAGCACTCAAGTCATACCCAGCAATTGCATCAAATGGCCAAGGGAATTCATCAGAAGGGTGGACCCTCTTCCTCGAAGCCTTGTGATCTTTGGAGCAGTGCAAGGAAAGGGTTCCATTAAGTCCTCAATTGGCCCAAGTGGCTCCTGTGATACCGACGACAGGTGAAGCGACGACCTGAAGGTGGCGGTGAAGATTGCTGCCCACGGGTGGGGCTTCCACACTGATCCTGCCACGGTTTGCCACCCACACAGGGGGAAAAGTCACACCGTATATGAAGCAGTGATTGATCGCACCAGTTGCCTGGTGAAGGACAAAAAAAAAAACGCCACCACCCAGCCAGCATTCCAGCCACCGAAATCGGGCTTTGAGGTCAAGAGGCTCAGCTTCTTGTTGCTGTCTTTTGTGCAGGCATTGACGTTGAACTTGCCACTCAAGCTTTTGCCCAAGGACTTCTTCGACGACTTCACCTCCTGGCGAACTGAAGCATCGACGATAGTAGGAGTGGCAGGAGCGACGAGGCGGAGAGAGTGCAAACTGGAGGCCTCAAAGATCAACGTCCCACGGGGCCGCAGAAAAGCATTTGTGGAGAGCCGACTGGAACACCCATGCACGACAACAAAAAGAGTTCTCTGAAGTATGTTCTCCTCAGTTTGGAAGAAAAGGGCAAGGGAAACGGGCTACTTGACCCTTCGTGCACGCATTCACCAAGAACCAGCTTTGGTAGACTCCCTTTGCCGAGACCGACCCTTCGGTCTTCCGGTTCGGCGGCGAACGGCGCATTTCCTTGACAGTGCTTTCGCAAATCCAAGGAAGCACATCGAAACCTCAACAACCAAACACCACTTTGGGTTGTTCCAATACGACTCTGCTTGAGATCCACACCATGTACCGACGGGACTGACCAGTCCACGTGGACCGGCGCCGGGGGTGCGCCGCTTCGCTCGCTTCAGCGAAGGCACGGCGTCCACCGCGTCCGCGGCGTCTTGCAGCGTCGTAACGGCCATGTTGAGGCCCATCTGAGCCTCACCCGGGTCGGGGGTGAGGATGGCACGGTGGCGGCCGGGGTGCCTGGTGCGTGAGGTCCAACGGTTTGGCCAACGGATTTTTCATTGCTTAGAGTACCAGAACAAAGTGAAAACACCGTTAACCCAAGCTGCAGTACTCCAGGATTAAATGGGTTTAGCCTCAATTGAGCCTCAATGGGTCAGCAACTTCCGTGCTGGGGACTTCATCACCGACCTCCATGGGGGATGAACGTGCCGACGAAAAGGTCGTGGTTTTTCGCGGTGTTTATCTTGGCCCAAATCCGTAGGGATGCCCCCTTTGAAGCAATTGACTTAAAATGCGTTGGTCTTTTTGCGATTGGGATTCTCATGTGTCCTTTCTTTGGGTAAAATGACGGCCATCACATGCGTGTTGCCCTGACAGTGCGCCACAATAAAAACGAAAAAACAGAACTCCCAATCGCGAGGCCACCCAAATCGCCGCGTTCGCTGGATTCTGCGTCTGCCGATGACTCGTTCGCGCGCGCGCAGGTTCCTTCGGACTCGCGGGCTCGCGGGTTCGGCGGCGGACTGCGCCCAGGGGCCATGAAGCCCGGGATGCCCTCCTTGGTGTCCACCCCGTTCTCTTTCAGCTCCTTGAGAGCAGCCTGTATCATTCGCCACGGGTCACGAAGCGGTGTTTCGGTGAGGAGAAGCAGAAGAACGCACAGGAACCGGCCGTGCCACGGCTTTTTGCTTAAGAACAGGAACCGGTCAGCCGTACCTTGTGTGTATTGATCTCGAGGTGTATGGATGAGATGCAAGAGGGAGAATAGACAGTGGTGTTCAGGAAGCATGTTGAGGAGGCTCGTTCTGGTGGTTGGTAAGGCCGTTGACTCTTGGTCTTTCTATAGGTCGAGTGACACATGTGTTACTTAGAAGCGGGTGTTTCGTGGTTGTCTGGCTTTGAGCAGTAGGAGCGCAGCCTTCAGGAGGATGTTACATTTCATGGTTGGAAAGGGTCCTTCAATCATCTGGTATATCTGCCACACTCAAAAATTCCTAATCCTAACTGTCCACTGGCTAAATTGAGATCCCAATGTCACGTTCGGACATGGTATTCGTATTATCCCTGCTCACAAGGTTCAGTGAACGGTTGATTACATTCCGTTTATGTTGTAGTTTATTACCATACCCAGACCATCCGTGCATGGAAATAGTTGCACTACACATTTACCCCATGTATGACCCTATTTTTATTTTCAAAAAAATCCCTGCGTGGATGGTCGGGGATAAAGGTTAAGTGTAATATACTGTTGCATACATTGTGCGTCTCTACATTTATTCCTCACCCCCACCTTCTCCAAGTTGCTTGTCTTTCACACCCAGGAAGGCAATCCCTATCCGAACGACCTCTGAGGGTCTTGCACATCTTCCAAACGACCCAAAAAAATCAAGCCCACTGGCTGAAGGAATTGCAAAAAACTGAAAAAAAAAAACACAGAACAGCAGGATGATTTCAGCTGTTCCATGACAAAACATCCTCTGCAAATCGAATTGACAAGTCATGTGGTCAAGGTCCATCTTCATCCTCCTTCAGTGGGGAATATATATATATATATGTCTACATCGGCTCTACCTCAAAGCCCCAGGTCAAAGCCCTACCTCAATCCCTGCCCCATCCGGTTGGCCCCGGCATGCTCCGGTCTCGGTGTCCCACCAGGTTCTTCTGCAAAAGTGTGCTCTGCTCGCATTCCTCCGCCACCAGAAGTGCCGGCGCCAAGAGGAGCACTGCGAGCTTCATGGCGCAGCGCGAGGTGAAGCTTCGCGTTCGGATGAAAGGAGCAGTTCAGTCACAGGCTGCAGCACCGGCTTTTTGGGTCGCTCCAGGCTGGCGGATCAATAAAGAACAGCTAGGCTGGGTACCTCCAGTGGTTTTCAGGGTCTATGATCATCTGCAGGGGGGTTATTCCAATGCAAATCCGTTTCCGTTCTGAGTTCCCATCCGCCCAACAGAAATGGGGAACCCGATCCCCCGCCGAAAAGAAGAAGCTCAACTCGTGGGCCTCTGGATCCCATCGCTGACGTGAAAAACCGGTCCAAGGCTTGGCAGAAAGAATGTCACGAAAAGAATTTCTCAAAATAAACAGAGGTGTATCATGTATCACTAATTATATCAATCTATCTCAGGTAGTGTCAGTCTGTTTTTCTCAGAGCAGATGTTGGTGTTTGGAGCCCTCCAGTGTTGGATCATACTGTCCAGGCCAATTCACTTCTGGCTGGATTTTCGTGGTCCATGAAGAATTTATGCTTCGAATTACGAGCAACCATTGTTTTGCACGACCAATCGTGCCAGGTCATCCGCAAATTCTTCTTCAGGCATTTGTTACTCTGTAGTGGGGTGTGCTGCCACTGGCTCAGTGCCAGCGCAACAAAAGACAGCTTGTCATCGACTTCGCTGTGAGTCTATGGCCCCCTACGGCTCATGGCCATGCGCTCCATGCGCATGCTGTGCCTGGAGTCGATGGGGGGTGTCGACCCGGTGTTACTCCCCTCCGGTGCCGGTGCGTGAAGACCCCGGAATCGGCCAGAATTTAGAACTTTTAGAGGCTTAGACCCATGCCGTGCCGGTGTGTGTGTCTTTCATTTTTGGAAGCTTTCATGCACGATCGATGACGGAGAATGCCAAAAAACGAGTCCGTTTTTGGGGGGATGTTCAGGGAATCACGGATTCGTTGAAAGGATTTCCTCTGGTCTGCAACATCTTCTTCCCAAACAAAAGGTCACGTCTGCACCAGGCGCTCCGAAACCGTCTCCATCCGGCCTTGGCGTCCGGATTCGCCACCGCTTGGACTTGAACCACGCGCTACGGGCCGTGCGCGGGCACGTGCTGTCACGTGCCAGGCGGTAGAATTGGGTCGGGTGTTGATGGGTCGTTTTTCGTGTCACACTTGGAGCCTTCGGAGCCGTGACGTGAGCCGATTGGGGTCGTTTATGGCTTCCGGCGTTTCTTGGAGCTTGCGCAACTGCGCAAGCCTTAGCAACCCGCTCCGACACCATCGTCCCGACACCTGTCATGGTCCCGACACGCAAAGGTCCATCCAATCAGGTCCAATCTGCACCGCCAAGGCGGCCGTGCACCGCCCAACCGCCAAGTCCGTCCCTCCATCGCTCTTTTTGGGGGGGCTTGGTGAGTCTGGGATCGGCTGTCTGAACCAGAAGTCCTTTTTGGTCCAGTTCCATGCCCAAATCCGAAGCAAAAGTGCCTGGCAGTGGCTTCAACCTAGGGGGGCTTCAACCTTGCCGAAGAAGATGGCGGCCCAAATGTGTGGCCTGAAATGCACTGCACACCAAAAAAAACCGCCTGAACCGACGAACCAAGCCGGAAAGACCTCCCGGTGGTTCGGCTGCTCCTCATGCAACACAAAGCCTCGACATGGCTTCCGGGGCAACGTGTGTGACACGAGGTGACACGAGTCACTCCCGAAGGCTGCACTGCTTCAAACACGACACGAGAAGGTCATCGTTTCTTTTTAGGGGGTGACACGAGCATCTTGGGCAACAAATAGGCGAACTGGTCGGCATTCATACTGATCATACTCATGAACAGTAGTCGGCAGTTTCAGCCACTGGCGCAGTTTTCAGCCACTTCTGATTTTCATCGGCTGGAGCTGGAGTTGTTCAACGTCGCAAGACTACGTCCCACGTCCAATGAGACTTCTCGCTCCAACGTCGTCAGAACCTCCGCCCGGCAGTCCATATATCCTCCATATCATTGGGGTATATCATGGGCGCAGTGGATGATGGTGGCGGCAGGCCCTTTTGTTCCTGAAATTGTAATTGTTTGCCGACTGGTACGGGTCATAGGACAAACCCAATCCATATCGAGATAAGCTCTGCTTGGATCCATTCACAAGTTGGAGCCTCTGAAGGCCTCGGCCAAGATATTCCAGACGCCCCAATGTCGGACTTGAAGGCAGTTGGGCCAAATCACTCTCTCCAACTTCTGATTGAAGCAAGTGCCAAATGAAATGCTTTTCAGACAATGCGACATGCCAATCAAACAATGACAACAAATCAATCATGCTTTTGCGCAATGACAACAAATCCTCCATTCTAGTATCTTCATCCATCATGAACCACCAATCCATCATGAAACTACACTCCCGAAAACCAACATGGACCCTGAGAATGGCACCCTGAAAGACTGTTTTCCTTTACAAACATCCGGTGACGATCTCTTTCACCTAAGCGTGGAGATGTTTCTCCCAGTGGGTTGACATGGCCGGAAAGGCCAAGAAATCCTCTACGAACAAGGCGTGTCCACCTCCATGATTGTTGGAGGGAAGGCATGCATACTTGCCAAATGGAACCTGAAAAAACCAGCGACCTTTCGGTTGGAGATAACAAAAAAACACAAACAGTGGAACACTCATCACGAGAACTTGAACAGGTGCTTTTACTCAATTATGTTCTGTGGAAATGGCCAGTTGGAGGGTCCAGGTGCATTCTCTGTTGAGCCAGCCTTCAAAAGCTGCACTGGCATGCGCATCTTGTAGTTCCTGCAGCGCTGAAGCTGGTGATCGGGTGGAAAGCTTCGTGGTCGGAAGAGCAACCGGACGAGTGCTTGGTGTTTCACCGCCTCTAGGCAATGGGCTTGAGTCCTCCAATGGTTTTCTTTTGGATCTTGATTGGTGTTGTTCTGTTCTTTTACATGTAAAATCATGTAAATGGATTCTGATCTTGATTGTTATTTTCAGTTGTTCTTTATACTGATACTTTTGTTGGTATCTCATCCTTCTTCAAAAGGGTTTTGGTGTTGTTCTCTAATTTCCGTCTTCAAACACACGGCCAAACACAACCAGACACGGCCGTATCCAATCTCTGACCAATCGTCTTGCTTGGCGTTTTTCGTTTTCAACGCCCTGGCAGATGACACGAAACAGTCTTGACACGCTGCTTGCTGGATGTGATGTCGAATGAAAGAAAGCTGCCCAGTTCGACGATTTGCTGGTGACCCCCGAACCCGTTCGTCAGACCATTCTGTTGATAGTCTTTGATTACCAAGGACCCCGACCAAAACCCAGAAGCGCCACGTGTCCGCGTGTCGCCAGCTATGCTTCTGGTGACGTCCGTCCCTTCGTCAGCCCAGTTGCCGACTGGATGGTGCCAGCGACTGGCTGGTTTACATAGGAGTTCCATCCAGATACACGGCTGGTATGGGGGGGCGACGCGTCTTTCATCCAGATACACGCGTTGCGCGTCTTTCACGGCTGGTTTACGGTTTACATAGGAGTTCCTTTCTGGTTCTTTCGCTAGTAGTAACAAGTGCATCGCTAGTAGTAACAGGTGCCTTACTAGTAGTAACAAGAAGCTATTAGGAACAAGTGCCTTAAATTAACCTTCATGCGGGTGGCTTCGTCGACTAAAACTCCCCCCGGACCGGACCGTGGGCACCGGGCGAGTCCCAAAGCCGGGCGGAAACGGTCGACCGAAATGAAAGCGAAGTCAACCTCCCGAGCCCCAAACCGGTTTGGTTGACAGCCCGAACATATATGTATATATATAATACAATATAATATAGTATAATATCATATAATATAATAAGATTAATATAATATATAGAGAGAGATAGATAGATAGATAGATAGATGGACAGACCCCAAACTAGATAGAAAAGTAGAATCCGTTTGTCCCTTTCAATTTTATTGGAAACTGTGCCACTACCTCGCGGTCAACCAGGGTGCAGGCTTTGACCGCCAAATTCCTTCGTCGCTGGGACTCGGGATTCATCGAGACGATAGAAGCTCGCCCCACGGCTGCGATGGACGACGTCTCGCGCCCTCGCCCCGTTTTGGAAGCCGCCCAATTGATCCACGTTCCATGGTTCCCTCAAAGAGACCCGCATGTTCGGCGAAAAAAGGCTGATGACTGAGTCTGGCTGTCTGGGTACATATATGGCATGGGTAAGCATGCATTTCAGGGAAAACCATTGGAAGATCAGAGGAACTCGCAAAAAATCTCCAAGATGCAGGACAATTCGAGGTAGGTTGGTTCATCAGCAGTGGGTGACACTGCTAGAGGTGGCCATTCAACGCTTTTCAGACGTCACGAGCACTTCAGGTTCCGTCGAAATAGGACACAGATATAGATCTCTTCCCACCCTGACAACTCTCACCAATTTGGGCCGCTTGCTGCAGAAAATAATGGAACAAAACGGGAAAAAGAATCATGGCACAGAACTGTGCACCAAACGCCGCCCAGTCGTTTTTTCCTATGGAAGAAGTTTAGTCTCTGTAAGCGATACGAATTCCGAACTCCTTCTCAATCAAGATAAGAATATCCATCTTCTTCACCCGGCACCACAAACGTCCCTTCCGCACCTGGAGAAGGCCCTCATCCGCCTGGACGCAGAACACGGGCAATCAAGCTGGGTCTGCTTTATAGCACTTCTGTGGAAGAAAAGTCTGGTTCTGGTGACTTTCATCCAAAACATCCCGAGAAAACTCGCCGGCGCGGTTGTGGATGTTCTGTTTCTTCGTTTGGAAGATTTTGGAGGAACAAAAAGAACGCCTTTGGCAAAAACATCTCGAGATTCGATGATTCTTTCGATTATACTCCAGATCTCCTGGGTTAGCTTCCCTGATCATGACGCGTGTCCATCCAAATTCAGGGAAAACGGGGGAGCTGGAATCTCCAACAACTTCCAATGACCGAGAACTGCCAATGACTGAATTGTACCAAGTCCGTGGACTGTACCAATTGTCCAATTCGGTCATTGTACCAAGAACTTCCAATGACGGAATTTTACTCCACCACTCCCAGTCATGGATAATCCACCACTCCCAGGCGGGGTAGTTCATGAGTCCTTTTCCTGGACCTCTGTCTTCCCATCTTCCCAAGACTAGGGATGCTGAAAAGACCTCTACAGTGGTTTCAGAGGTTTGATTGGCACTGGCACCCCAAGATGTCTTGTTTCAAGATGGGGGTCCATTGTTCAACCACCGACCTTGGAGGCCCCAAATCGCCATCTATGAAAAAGATGTCCAAAGAAAAGAACCCAGCTGCTTCCAAACGGGTTACCTGGCTGGACTAACCCTACCCTACCTTGTGGGTCTCCAGACAGGGCCCAGACAGGAAGTGCGGCCGGCCGCCCCGCCCCTCGGCCCCGCCCATCGCCTCTTCGAGGAGCAGATCCGGCGAGATGGCCGACCTGAGACGAGTGCCGAGGCGACGGAGCCGGTCGGGCGGTTTGGGCGGACCATTCGACGTGTGACGGATGGAAGAGATGAGGAGAGGTGTTTTGGGGTCGCTTGAAGTGAAGGGTGAAGTGAAGGGTCGCTTGATCTGAGCAGAACTCCGAAAAAGGTCGCTTTCGGAGTCATTTTTGGGAGCGTTCTTAGAGGATGAAAGAAAGCATGCGAAGAGGCTTTGCAAAGCTGGTCCTGCACCCCCCATTGTTTTGATGGAAAAAGGAGGCAAACATGGGTGAACAATAAATCACAATAATATGCTAAAATAAAGTAAACATGGAAAACGTCCCAAGTGGTCGTTGCAATTGAACATGTTGCTCAACATGCGGTCGTTTCCTCGACTCATCTCGAATTCATTGCCACAAGCATCGAGCTACACAAAAGGGGGGGCCTGCACTCAACCTAGTGAGTTGGCAACCATTCTCTTGCTCAGCGTTATCAGCAGATTCTATGTCATGGTCTTGTCTCATTTCAAGACTGGTAACTGAAACACATCAGATCATCGACGAACCAGAAGACAAGCACCGAGGTTGGACTGGCTGAAAACATGTGTGTAGCATGTGATATTACTATGAAGCTGATGCTAGTCGTTTCATCTGCAGATCTAGCATCATCAGCATCCAATGAGGCGAAGAATGCAAGCAATCTACCTTCAAACTAGGTCTTCCTACACAAATCATTGGTAAAGTAGAATAGCCTCCAGCAAAGTAACATAAACCCCAACACCACTGCGTTGTTTGCCGGAAAATGGTCTGAAACGGGTGAATCATCCTTCATCTCTTGAAAGACCGTCTCTGAAGTTGCCAAAACGATCCTGGAGGTGGCGGGCCTTGGATCCCAAAAAGGACCCATCGGACCCGTTCTCAGCTTCTCGCGGGCGGAAGCTCCGTCTCTCCTTCCAGGAAAAGACCTGGACCGCTCCGCCGCGTGCGCCGGGACGGCGCGGGTCCGGGCACGTGTGGGCACTGCTGGCGGACTGAGGACTGAGGCTGAGCGGTTGGTCGATTTGATCCTCCCAAACAAGGTGTGGAGATGTAGTAAGTAACCTTGACTAACTAACCACCCTGTCGGAGTGTCCCAATGGTTTCGCCCACAAGCATTGTAGGGTAGACCCTGACAGGATGGTTCAGGTAGAAGCAATGAACTTGCAAAACACCAGATGTCCTCCGATTGCACACCGAACTTGCATCCAAAAGGTATGGATAGGATAGGCATCTTTTGGGTGCTTTATATATTTTAGATGTCTATGCTGGATGGGGCATGAATGAAATCCGGACGACACTTGGTCATAGCGCTTGGTCGTAGCGCCTCACTTCCATCAACCAACAACCTTGGGGTGGAGACAACGGGCCAAATGCCAGTGATCCTTTGCAGCATTTCGAGCGACGTCTGCTAGCAAGCAGACTCCATCATTGTTAGACCCCAATTGCACCAAGAGGCCCCAATACTTGTGGTTCACATCAAAGTTCATCATCCAGTTGAACCGAAAGTGCACCGGGTTGGTAATACACTCTGCAACTTGTAGGCCTCGAAGCAACAAATTAAAGCAGGTGCATGGTCACAAACTGGATAGTTGTGACCATGCACCTGACTACCTCAAGGTAGCGCCACATGTCACAGTCTACCTCCGTACCACACGAACAGCGGCCCCCGACACAGCGCTGTCCCAAGACTTCCAGGCGGATGTTTGCCACGACCTTCGAGGCCGGTGGACCCGGACCGTTCCGGTGGATGCGTGCGGAGCGGCACCAATAAAGAACGACCCAGGTGTTTGGGGGTGTTGGAAGACGTGTTTTGGTTTTTCATTTATATGATATGTATATGATATGTATGATATGTTGTTTCTGAATGTTTCTCTGTCAGCCGTCAGGTGTTCGAAGTGTTTTTGGGCTATCTCTGATGGAAAGTGGGCCTGTGTCATCACTTGGTGAGTCCAAAATGTCTGTGACTCTTCCTCCTTGCCATCCCAGTAGCTGGCACCACACAGAAGAGCCGCTCCATCCAACGCAAACACCCGAGGCCTCGGGAGAACGAGGGTGGCCGGAGGCTTTCGCCACCGCCACGTTCTTCGTCACTGAGTACTCTCAGGGTTATGTGGATGGATGTGGATAGCACATGATAGCACATGACGGATGTGGTATGGTTTCCAAATGGTCTTCAGGTCTTCCTTTGGGACCATGCACTTGCTGATAGTCTAGTTCGGACTCTCAGGAGGGAGGGACTTCACTTCGGGTGGTGACCACCTTCGGACATCCCCCTTCCGTGGTGCCTGGTCCTGGTGGTCCATATGCTTCGGTCCTCCTCGGTGCCACAGCGCTCCCACGCTCACCGAACAAACCGGCGACCGGTGGACCTCCGATGCTCCTTCCTTCGGTTTGGAAGCCTCCCGGCGCAGTGGTTTTTGGGTGTCTTTGGTCCGAAGAAAGGGAGGGTGAACAAAACCACGACATCGGTTTCCATTGGGATGATTGAAAGGATCACCCAGAACAGTGTCCGAGCCGCCCTTGTGCCTGGTCTCCCGGGTTGACAAAGCCCCCCACCAAGGTCTCCCTCCATCTCCCTCCGTGTGCTCGGAGTTTCCTGGGCTTTGCCACTGGGCCGTGTGAAGACGAAGAGAATCTGCTCCGTGGGCTTCTCGCGGATCCTCGCGGAACGACGCGTTGCTTGCGACCGAACAACACAACTCCGAGCTTGGTTCGGGCTCGGGTGCTGGGAGCGCGCCGACCTGGAAAAAAAAGGCAAAGGCACAGGTCGCGAGGAGCCTTGATGTTGGTATAAGAGACCTGACATGACCGGCTGTGTCTAAGGCTGTTTGCAGAAGTGTGTTTGCAGAAGGTTTGGGATGGTTTGGGTGGCTGACAAGATCTGGTTGAAGGGAATTTAAGAGGATCGTCAAGAGCGGACCTCTGCCCGCTTTCGGTCTCACAGACTTCAGATCCTCCCAGTGTTCAGCTGAGAGTCGGCTATAAATTGACTCAACAATCATGGGCTGGTGGGGGAGTAGAACAAACAGCCAGGAGTCACAGAGCTCGCGGGGTGCCCCTGTCACATCCACTCACTTATATAGGGACAACAAAACCACTCCTGGAGTGACTCCTGGGGGGTCCTCGAGTCCTCTCTCGCCGTGCTTCTGGCCCTTGGGCCGTTTGGGGGGGCGGCCACAGCAAAAAGGTTGAGCTTGCAAGGAGGATCTTTCTCCTTTGGTACAGTACTTGGAGGGCTGGGCACCGTCTCTCGTATGTTTTGCACTCGCACACCTGTCCTTCCAAAGAAGTAAACTCCTCAAAAAAAACAGCCTAGAATCCCAGAAGTCCAGTTTGACGATGTTTGGCACCACCGAAGTAAAGGAAAGTCCTTCGATGGGACCCCTTTTTCGCTCTCCGTGCACCCTCTCAGCCTCTGGACCCCTTCTCCATCCCCCGCTCCTGCCAAGGCCGAGCCAAACCTTGCTGGCTCCCAGAAGAGCCTTTTTGGAGTCCAGGGTCGCAGAAATATCACCCACACCAGCTCCAAAACTGAGAAGCACCACACAGTCTCGGGTGGTGCTTGTTGGATGGAAAGTACATAGGAATAGTCAAGGGTGTCCATAAACCCCCTTTCCGCCGTGGGCTTGAAGCCGTTGGCAAAAACCATGTTGTCCGCGCTCGCTTTGGCCACTTTCTGCACCATGGAGCCATCTACGCTGGACAGGTTGGCAGGCTCCAGGCGGCTACCTCGCTCCAGAAGCTGAAGCTCCCAGCTCCTACTGCCTACTGCTCCACGGCCAACCACCTCCAAGCGCCGCCTATGTTGCAAGCACTCAAGCCTCAGCGCTCACCGTGGCCTCATGTCATCATCCTTCACAGGATTCCGGCAAAGCTGCATGGAAAAGAGTCGCAACGTCACGCATAAAGAACACTCTTGTGGGACACTCTTGCTTGACACTCGTAAACGCTGCATGGCTCCTGGTTTACCCGTCGCCCCTACAGACCAACAAATGGCACACTTGGTGGATAAGTAGGTTGTAGACTCATGGACTGTGATGGGTCTCGGGCCAAGGCCAAAATTCACCGGACAAGAACGCCACCCAGGAGATGTGCGGGTCAAGCATGGAGCACACCGAAGGGCTCAATAGGACTGGTCAACCAAACAACTACCTGCGTGTCAATGACTTTTTCGTTGACTTTGGGTAGCGTGACAGACTCTGAATCATAAATTCACAGGCCATGACAATGAACTTGTAATAGGTGGCAGCCTGTATTCATGTGGGTTACCTTTTTGAGATGGGCATCCAGACCTGGACTAGGGTTTGAGGCCACTTCTACTGGTGGTGATTGGAGGGTCGGGGCACCTGTTTGACCAACTTTACAATCCTCTACATGCAATCATTCGCGGCAATCAAGAGGCCGACAATGGCCGCCGAGCACCCGCCGGGCACGCCGATGGCTTGGGTCTGAAGCTTTTGACGTTCAAAGCGATCCGATGCGCGGACAAGTCCTCCTTGCAATGTCTTCAGTTTGCGGCACCATACAGTCAACAGCGGCCGCTTGCCCAAAATAAGTATGCCTTTTGGCGGTCACCTGTTGGTGGAATATTTTTCTTGTGCAGATCAAAGTGTCATACCCAAAGTTGGTCACCTGGTATTTTCACTTACCTCTCTCAACTGATATGAGACCCTTTGGAGCCCTAGCCGCAGATGTTGCTTGAGATTGCATACTTAGGTCGTCCACGAAGACAGGATGATTGAGTTCAATCGAAGGGTTCACCGCGTCCGGTCTGGCGACCGGCTTCACCACGGCGCCGCGGCAGGTTCCTCCGGCGACGTCTTCGGTGTGGAAGGAGGAGGAGAGCAGTGCTTCCACTGATGTCACTCGCCTCGCCTTCGTTCACATCTTTCATGTCTCTCATGTGTATTTGACTCTACACCTCCAGAAACGTTCACCACAAATGCATTTCGCGGTCCCGGGTGTCAACGGTCCAAGGACACCAAGGGCACCGGGGACCATGGCGATCATGGACGTTTCACACCTTCCACACTCAAAAGATTGTCAAAAAGGTGCACCCCCCAAAAAAAAGGCGTCCTTGCTCCTAGTAGTAAGGCCACGAGCCCCTAGTAGCGCCCTTGCTCCTAGTAGCATGTTGACTGACTGAAGTAAAAGAAACTCCCTTTTGGGCAGGTAGTTGGCAAATCACATAACCTACAGGGATCAGCTTCCATTGGTGAAGCACCCCTCGTTGGCCTGAAGAAAAGCCAGATCCATTGACAATTGACCTACCTCCTGATCCACAACCACACTCCACCCACATCAAATCTCTCGCATGTTCTCCCCCTCTCTCTCCCCCCTCTCGCTCTCTCCCCTCCGCCCCTGCGAAAAACTGAGGGCTTTCTCGGGACGCAGCCGGCAAACGGCGCGGGCCGGCATCGGTCTCGAGGACCTGGAAAAAGACGGGTGGGCGGAGCAGGCGGAGCAGTGGTCATGCGTTTAGTGTGTGGGGGAGTGTTCTTTTTGCCGTTTTGGTGGGCTTTTTTTGCGTGTTCTCTGTGTTTCTCCCAATGGGTTTCTGCCCTTTTTTCTGCTCGTATTTCCGCACTAAAAGGAATGTGATCACTATGGCTTTTCGTGGATCCGTTCAACGGCTGTGTGATAAGCGAATAGGAAACTGATCCTCCCCAATCAGGTGGGAAAAAGTCCTTTGACGACTTGCTTGTCTTGCTGGTCTACTTGGGGGTTCTAGGCTTGTCTGCTTGGGGGTTCTAGGCTTGTCTACTTGGGGGTTCTGAGGGTCACACGGTCACACGGTCTCATCCGCAAAGAACATGCCGCATCCGATGTCTCTTTGGGTCTCGCGGACGACTCCGAAGCGGCAGCGCCCGGCATCTTGCGACGTGTTCCGCCGTGACCAACGGTTCCCAACAAAGAGATCCACCGGGTCTATCCCATTACTATGTGGATGATGGTGAGGTTAGTGAGGTTGCAGGCCGATAGTTCAAACATAGTGATTTGCTTGTGAAACCTGACTGTTCCAGGTAAGTTCGGACCAGAAATCCATAGCTGGACCCTCCGGTCCTGTGGTCTCTAATGGGTAAACTACCCTGCGATCCTTGTGGAAATTCCAGACAGGATGCTCCTGCATGATTCAAAGAAACTCTGGTCCCGGTCCGGGCGGACACGCATTTTCTTAGCTCCATCGCTTAGCTCCACGTCAAGCCATCGCCCTTCGGCAAACTACCTCGGAGCGGAACGCCCAAACGCCTTCGAAGCCGACTGGGTTGCGCGGAGTTTCAGCGCGCCGGACCGAGACAGTGCGCTTTTCACCGGCACCGGCAGCGGAGCGATCGGATCGCTCGCTCATCCTTTCCCCGCAAAGCGGTCCCGGTGAGGCGGTGACGCGCGCGCGCCGCGCTTTCCGTACAGGAGAGGCACAGGGCAGCAGCCAAAGCAGTGGCCTGGGGCCCAGCACTGCACAGACGTTCTCGTAGAGGCCCTCCACATGGTGCTTCGGAAGGATACATGACCAAACGCAAAATCAAAAGAGCGAAGAAGAGCATGTACGTACCAAAGTTGTTCTTTTGTGCTTGTTTTTAGGTGCAAGTGGATAGTTTTGAGAGAGTCTTCCAAACGTGCAAAATGCTTTGATCTTAGTCCATCATCCTGATTGCTAAACCATACCAGTTCGCTTGGGATCTACCACCTGACAAAAGTAGCTTGTTCCTAATGGGTTCGCAGCAAACAGCAGTCTTTCACATCATCGAAGACCACGCCTTTGAGTAGATGGAGGAGTCGTAGCCCGCCATCCTATGCACCGAAGCGAGTGTGCAGCTAAACGTGGCGTCATGTGTGCGTTAAACCTGCCATATCTCATAGCATGGCCTCCGGAAACAGGGTTCTTGCTCGGGGGATGGGTGAAGACCATGCAAAGTTTGAGACCCTGTTTGCGTGGCCGGTTTGGGTATTCTCAAGAAGGGCCTTCAGAATCATGGCTTCAACACAGCAACACTTCATCTGTCAGTGAAACTCACTGCTTTACTTCCACAAATGAAAAGCGCTCTTTTCAAGCCTCCGCCGGACCGAAAAAACCAACGGAGGGAGGTGTTCATCGTCTGCGAGAAGCATAGGTGAACGAATCATTATATATGTCTTTTCGTCGCTGTTTGGTGTAACTTGCGTATAACCAGACACCCTGGCCCAGTAGATGATGATGGGGCCGGTACGTTGCAGGTTCCAAGAACATCTCAAAAAGAGTTATCATAATTTTACTTAACTGTTACACGTTTACCCGGACATACGTGTTTGGTGTAAGACTCGTGTTCGCTTGCCGACTCTGACGAAGACGGAAGTGGATGGCATGGTCCTGACATCAAGATGATAGCATGATTGACAATCAATCTGATTAGGTAGCAAAACTGTGCTTCCTATAGTCAGAATGGAAACAAACAAAACTCCAAAATCAAGTCATATCAGCGGGTTACCAGGTACCAAAATAGAATGTCCAAATGATGTGTGTAATTGTGTATATATATATACCATACCAGGACATTCCAATAGGTCCCCACCTGCGACGTTTAAGTCTCCAAACGCCACCAGAGGAGACCTGTTGGAGGGTGCTGGTATATAAATATGTTTTGTGAGGTTCCAGTTCCTAACTTATTCGGTCATCAACCTCTGATACGTACAAAGTCCCAGGCGCTTCATTGACTTCTCACAGAACTCCAAGGTGGTCATGGCGTTTACCTGAAGCGCAGCAAGCGGAGCTCACGCGTGGCACACCCGTGCTCGCCCCTGGTGAGACAGCAGAGCTTGACATCTGGGTCACAAAACATGGACAGTTTCATCAAGATGTTTCGCAAAAGTAGCCAACACAACAATCCTAAAATGACAAACCACCAATCATGACGGTCTTCATGTAAAAATTGTTTGGCATCCCAACAACATCCTAAAAGCAGCCAAAGTAAGAAGAGGTCGCGTTTCGGGTGCTTTGTCTTCGTTCACGGCTCTGCGACGGTGAGTGACACGAAAATGACAGCTCGTGGGGTTCCATATCCAGCAAAAATTGGCTGTTTCCCCAACACCGCTTCCACAGGCTTGGACGTTTGTCACTACTTCCCTGCTTTGAGTCAAATGCTGTCAGCCTGCTGCCTCCCAGTTGCCCTCCCAAACAACCCTCCAGTCGGGTGGTGAGTGACCGGACACCAAAAACACCTTCGAACTCGCGGCGCAAACGGCGCGAACGGAAGCACAGGGACTGTGAGCCATCCATGGAAGCCCAAGAAGAGGCAATTCACCTGAGAGGCTGTCGGGAGCGAACCGATCCAGTATGATCAAGTAATCCCAACAGGAGGTTGCCCCACAAGCTCCCAAAGGCAACTGATGCTTGAATAATTCAAAAACCAGAAAATCTGTGCCGGGGAGACTGCAATGTGTAACTGTTGATGGAACAACTTCCAAAACACCAGCTGAAAGTTTTACAGAGTCGGCTCTATCTTTGGGACAATCGGCCGTCTGACAACAGTCCGACAAAATCTTCATCGTATCGTCGTCGGTCGGTGTTCCACCAACACACTCAATGCAGACTTGCATTCTTCAAAAGAGTTTGCGTAGTCTTCAATACATTGATGAGATGTTTTCAATTGTGTGCCCTTGGAAGTCCAAGGCGATTATTTTAAAGTTCTCTTTAGGTGACACGATGTTTCAGGAATTCCCTGTACTTCGGTGGTGCCCCAAATCCGACGACGCAAACGGACGTCGGACCGAAGCACCCGGCGGATAGCCTTTTCCGGGTTGGCATGTGTCTTTACACTTCAATCAGCCATACGGTCTAGCTGGTAAACCGTAAAAGTGAACAGAATGATTCCTAGAATGCCTATAATGGGTGTGCTTCTAAAGAATGGAAACGATATGTTTTGAGGAACATTCACTCAAATGTCTATGCCTAGTCATGTCTAATTCGATAAACCTTCCAGACTTGAACATTTATATAATTAGTAACAATACGAGACAAGACCTTCAATTCCAACCCGCCAATCAAGATTCATCTTGCTCAAAGAATTGTTTACCCCCATCCTGTGCCGCCCTGGATTGCGACGAGAAATCGCCCAAGAACCGCAAATACTGGAAGCCGAACAGTTCACACATCCGGCACCCCAAGCACGGTGCATCCCAAAGTACGGTGCAAAGGAAACACGCGAAGCACTCAGCGAAGAGGAGCGACGTCATGAGTGCAGGGCTCACATCCTTGGGACGAGGTGCAGATGCACCGGGCGGAGCGGAAGCGAAGTCACGTCACGTCGACGAAGTTCGGTGGGGTGACAATCAGTTCCCGGACTTGGACTTGGCCGCTCTTTCGCTGATAAAAAAACAATATCAATATATATATATATATACAAATCATACTATATAAATCTACATCGCAAGCTTGAAGCATTGGGGAGGCCCCAGGGGTAGATCCAAAAAAAAAAACAAACTTCCAGTGTCGGCGCCTTTCATGGACTGTGACGAGTTAGAGAAATCGGAGCAAAGGTGATCTGTTTCTCAGACTCCAGTTTCCACAATCGAATGCGTTATGCTCTTCCCTCCTACTCACCTACTCCTTTGCTCAAACATGGCCAATCCACTCCGTCCTCATGTTTTGCCGCTTTCGAGGGGCGAGACGGGTGGACCACCAGACGGACTCGAACATGGTGATGGTGATGAAAAGCAAATCGATGGCCTCGGAGCCAGCGAGAACCGTTCGAGCTCCGTTCGCTCCGCTTCGACCGTGCACCGTCGCAGCACGTGTCGGAGCCTGCGCGGAGCACGAAGCGTTGGGATGGCATGAACAAACCAGCTGCAAGGGCCGAAGGGGATGTTCTGGGCACCGGGTGCCATGCAACCGGGTGCCATGAGGCATGAAATTCCAATCATGTTGTTTCGCGGAAGGGTGCGGAACACACGAATGACACCACCACTTAGATTTGTTGTGCACCCTCCACAACTAGTTCAGACTGGCCACGTTTGCGATTTGTGCACTGTCAACGCGTTTGGAACTTCATTGGGAGTGCAGAAGTGCAGCCTCCTTCCAAACAGGGACATAGCCCAGCATAAATCCTATTGAAAAGTCCACCCTAGACAATGATAAAGTGACCTTTCCCTCACTTGCTGTTCTCTTAAATCACTCTTCCCACAGCAGCTTGAGAGCTGTGGCTGTGACTCTCGGCCAAAACCAAAGTGCTCGTCGCAATAGATCTGTTGGGGGGGGATGGTGCACGGATACACTGCCAAATTTAGATACAATATGATACAATTGATGGATGGTCCATCGATAGCACCACTCATCCAACACCCATCTTCCCACACCCTTTTGGCACCTATGGCAAACAGAAAAAAAGAATGACAAAGTCCCCATGCAACCGGAAGGTGCAACCAAGCCACTGAGTAGATCAGCAGTAAAATGAAGTACTTGTGGTTTCGAAAGCCGATACAGTTGTAGACCCAAGGGCAGTGATGATCCATCCGTAGCACGCACAAGTTGCAAATCCGACAATGGTGACACCTGTCAGACAGCCAAACTGCGCCGTGGCCATAGAAGAAACCCAACTTATCAACAGGGAATTCCTTCAAAGCCCCGGAATGCACTGCGCAGAATGGCTTTCTGTTTGCTGGCTGGCATGTCGGCTTATTGTTTCGATCTTCTTCGTGTTCAGGAGCGTCCGGGCCATGTTCCAATAACAGTGATGAAGCATTCCAAACTACCAGGAGCCAGAACGCTACTAGGGGCTCCTGGCCTTACTACTAGGAGCAAGGAGCAAGCTACAAACGGGGCTCCTCGCCAAGAAACAGTCCGGCCATGCCATGGGTCTTTTTCAACCAGTCTATCCAAACCCTTCCGGGGTCAACGGCCGGGTGGGGCAGCACGGCCCGAACCGCTGCCACTGGAGAAGAGTTCGAAGACGACCCACGTGTTTTGCAAAGAAACTCCCATCAGATGTCATGAAGGCCAAAACATGCCCAAAACCCGCCCTTTGCTCCGAAACCCGCGCCTATCAGGCTTGTACTTCAGGCACCACTTGCAGTGCCGCCGATCGCCACTGGTCTTCTTCTCGGTGATGGGCACCGACCTGAGCAACGTCGCCTTTTTCTGAGCGGAAAAGAAAAGGAATCGGAAAAAAAAACGAGCTTTTGGGCGTACTGACATTGAAACTTCTAGATGCTTGAGGATCATGTTGGCCAGGCTGGTTTATCTGCTTCAGCTGTCATTGTTGAACCTTGTTTTGCCGCTGTCAGCTGGGAACCTAAATTTGAAAAAGCCGCCTCTTAGCACAAGATCACACAAACCCTGACCCCTGCTGGGTGCCCCCTTTCTCCAGGACCCCACAAGACCTGCAAGAAACTCTATCTCAAGACCTGCTTTTGACAGCAGAACACGCCCAGGGCACTTCATTTCCCCATCCACTGGCGAGGCAGCCGCGGACCTGATTTTGTCGGTCAGAGAAGAAGTCGAAGCTTCAAGGAGAAGCCCCCAGGGAGAAGTTAGGACCGCCGCAAAAGCCGGAAAAAAAAGAAAAGCTATGTTTTCCAAAAGGTTTCAATTAGAGCTTTCGGGACTCACTCCAGAGCACAAATCATCAAGTGTCAGATGCCCACGATCGAGCGAATCGGGGGTTGTCAGATGCTCAAGCGTTTCGCCACACAGATCTGAAGCAAAGAAACCTCCACCTCCAAACCCAAACAACCAGAAAGAACTGGTTGTTCCAATATGGTTTGCTTGAGATCCTGGTCCTTTACATAGGAAATGGCTGAGACTGGGGAGTTCCATCCATGTGAAAAAGTACCAAAAGACTCAGCGTGTTGTCTCAAAGAATTCGAGAATAGATGTCATCCTGGATGGATGGGCGGATGTTTTTCGCGGCAACTGTAAGGACAGACCCGGCGGCAGAATCTTAGTTGTGGGACACCCCGTTCTGACGTGATACCTTGGATAAAAATCGACTTACCAATAACAGTGGTCTCAGTGGATTAGTAAAGGACCACTCACTGAGGAAGTGTGATATGATATTAACTCTCACTGAGACTGGTAGGTGAGATACACCCAATGGATACCCTTTGTCGTTCCATCCACACGGTGATTCCAAAGATTTCCAACTTCCCACTGGCTGGCGATCTACAGGACAGGGCCACTCGAATTTAGGCGCCAGAAGGGCACAAGCTGAAGCTTGAGTGCCATGAAATGAACATGTTCCACAGTGTTCCCCGAACTCTGTGAAACTCTGTGAAGACCAAAACAAGGAGATCCAGGAGATCCTTCTTCTGGTTCCGACCAACACCGACGCTGCTCCGACCTGGTCCGGAACCCGTTCCTCACACGAAAGCAGCATCCTCCAGGTCCCACCAACGAACCGGCATGCCCCTTGCCCTGCGGGGAGAACACGCAACACAGACACCACGCGCACACACAGAAATACCAGAAGTGACAGAGCTCGAGGTGCTGGTTCCGGAACGGAGGAAGTCGGGGTGCCCCTGTCACATCCACTCACTTATATAGGGTCAACAAAACCACTCCTTTCTTTGTGACTACTGGTACCCGTTCTCCTGTCGGGCGACGTTTCGCTCTGGAGCTCCCATCCCTGGTGGTCGGGGATGGTGCCCGGGAAGGTCAGCAAGCACCTGGCGGGCACGAGCGACCGACCTGGCCAAGAGGCCCAAGACACTGTATGGGTTTGGTCGGGCAGTCGAGCTCAAAGTAACTCAGAGAGTCACTGTATGGCTAATATACATAGACACACTTGCAGCATCACGAAACAGAAAAAAGACAGATTTGGGGCAAGGTGACTCTCATCCACCACTGCTTGGGGCAGCTGATCGTCTCAAATCCTTCTTTTCCGGAAGAAGGACCATGCCCGACAAGTTAAATGGGGGGAACCTCTCAGACGGAAGCCCGAAAAGTGGATATGAGACACCAAACACCATCCACACGCTCACCTTCGATCTGCTTCTACGGAAGAACTCTCTGATTTCGACTGGAACGCGTGGAACGCGTGGAAGAATGAACCGTGACTAGTTTCCAAAGAAGCCCAAAAGGAATCTTTCCAATGTCCAATCACCCTTGATTTAATGGTCCGAATTCCAAACAACTATTGTGTTAATTATGGATTTTACACTACAAAACCAGGTCCAGCATCTTTTAAGGCTAGGGATCCGAACACCTTTCGCTGCGGTGTTCAGAACCACCGACCTCAGGCTGTCTCCTCTCAGAAAACACATGAAAACACCATCCATCTGTGGTGCCTCAACAAGCAGTAGAGCAGCAAGACGGTGATGCCATGAAAGAAACCCAGCTGCCACGTGCCGCGAGCGATCATCTTCTGCTCCCGCAGCACCTGGAAAATTGGGCAAGGAATGTCACTCATTCGGGCGACTTCAGGCGACAACCGCGACCGGAAGGGCTGGACCGACTTTCGGCCTTGCGGCTCTTCTTTCTCTAATGTTGGGTGGAGCTGAAACATGACCAACATGCTCATGCCAGTGATGTTGGTACAGAGCACAAGCATCACCGACATGTTTGCACGCCCAATGCACCTCAGGCAGGTCCCATTGCAGCAGCCGCAGACCATGCAAGAAGAAGTACCTTGGCTGCCAGCTACGTCTTTGCAACGTGCTCCCCACACACCCAACGGTCACCCCTTCACCTCGGCAGCGATCGCATGAACTGTTGAAAACTCCCTTCAAACGAACAACATGTTGATGTTATCGATGAATGACCCTACATATTTTTGTCTTGGTCTCCCTCATGTGATGGCGTGATCATTCTTAGGCTCAGTGGTGCAGAGTAGGGGGAACCTTGGAGGTCACGACAAAGTCTGTGCTGGTACGACTTCTCGTTTTGTGCGTGTCGAACGGCTCTCGACACAAAATCAAAGCAACCCCATGGCGCGCCTTTTTCAAAGGGGGAATTGGCTCAGTCGGCCGATCTTGCGCAGAACGGCCAGCGAACAGACATGTCGAGCTCGTGACATCGCTCACAAGTCCAAACTTTCAGGAGGAACAATTGCGTGCCCAAGTTTGGCTCGATAGATGACAGACCGTTCTCCCTTCTAGCCAAATGGTCTCTCTTCCTGAGATCTTCTCCAACCGTTCTGTTTCATGACGAAAACACCCAACCGTGACTGCTCAGCCGCCTCAGGTGGATCCTCCGGTGTCGACTGGGGCAGGAAGAAACCCCGCCCCCAGTCGGTTGGCTAATGAGAAAGGCCTGAAGAGAAAAGACTCTCGAGCCAAGAAGGCCAGAACAAGTCAGTGGACCAGGAGGTTTGGCAGAAAAGTGGATGATTCTTCCGGCCAAAAGATGTGGCTGCGGGTCATTGGCACCGACGTCACGGTCTTTCCTCGTTCCATGCTGGACTAGACCGGGCTCCAGGTTGAACGACGGAGGCTCTGAAGAGCCGAACTACAAAACAAGTGAATCATCGGAAGGCTCTTCAGTCCAACTCTTGCGAAGAAGTGGGTCCAACTCTTGTGATCAACCTTGAGTCGTAGACCAACCACTTGTGACACGTCTTGACTTGAGAACCAAAAATTAAACGACGGGAACTGAGAATGGTCCCATGGGCTTTGGTCTCCGAAACCAGCACAACCTTTCGCACCGTTCAACGGTGGGACATCGTCATCGTCTCCGTGGCTCCGGCCAGCTGTGCTGCGGTGGCATGAGTCAATTCCTGGCCGGGCCGAAGGGTGGTGCCAGGGCGTTGTTCCAAGGCACCACGAAAGGGTGATCTTGTGAGCTGCAAGTGTTTTTCGTGCTGAGTTGGTGAGGCAGCACTATATGGTGATTCCAAATGATGGAGATGTAAGAATTGTGAGTCATATTGAAGGCATCAGCAGCTTCAAAAGCTGGCGTTGGAGCAATGCACCATTTGGGCTTCAAGAATGGGTTTGAGAACTTATGTTCAGCGTGCTCAACAAATTGAGACCCGGCGATGAAAGATTTGGATACATTGAGTGACACTCAGGTCGCTCAGTGTAAAAGTGAAAAGGAAGTAAGGATATTCACTGAACAAAGAGGCCACGGACCTACGATGCGATCATCCTCTCTGAGTGTCCTGTCTAGGGATCTCCAAGTCGTCTAGTGCAGACAGGACACCCGGATGGTCGGATTACCTACGCAGTCAATTTAAGAGCCTGGCATTGTGGATACAACGCCACACAGCAGCACCACTCTCGAGATGGAGAGATGGACTTTCTGTGAAAGGACGTGGAGGACTTGCCTCTGAAAAGATGGTGATCTGAACGGTTGTGGCCAATTGTCACCTGGGTCCATCTACTTTTTCACCCCGATGAGGATTCATCGTTTTCAAGCCGCAGGAAGGTTTTCTTCTACGATCACTCTGTCTTGGACCAACAGCAAAAGGAGCCGATGGTTGCAAGCACTTTTATAGCAACAATTTGCATCAATTTGCTATGCCCCTCCAATTCCGGCACTACAACAGCATGGGCCCTCAAAAGAAAAGTAGGGGACCTGAAGGGGTTTCACTCAAAGGGAAAGATCAAAATCGCCCTAAGCAAAAACAAGGTATACACCATCCTGTTGGGATCTCCAGACTGACTCCCCAGGCCCAAGACTCGTGGGGCGAAACCAAACAGGATGCTCCTGGTATGACTGTGTGTGTGTGTCTAAGGGGTCGATGGCACCGCTGACCACGCGCTGACCGCGCACGCCTCGCTCGCTTGCAAGAGACGCCCCAAGCGGCGGCACCTCGGTGGATCAACGGTGGATCCCCAAAGCCTTTGGATCCACGGCACCTCGAGGGTGCCCAAAAACGTCCCAACAGAGGTTGAAGAACCCTGAAAAAAAGACTACAGTATCCCAGTTGGGTATACCCCAGGCTGCCAGGTGACGGGTCCTTTTGTAAGGTCACTTGACCTCTCTTGGTCAGGTTGCTTGCTGCTTGAGGGTGCTTCTAAATTGGGTGATTTTGAGTGTGAAAGAAGCACTCCGGACTCCAAGATGGATCACTCAGTTCGTGGATGGTTTCTCCTCCCTACCCCTGAAGCCCTACATCTAATTACCTACCCACCAGCACCAGCTCATCCAACCAACCAACCACCTGGTTCTGTACCTTCGCCTCCGCCTACCTCCTACCTTTAACCACTCCCATCACTCCCAGCACTCACCCCCCATCACCCCCCCTCCCAGTGCTGCGCTCGGCTTCCTTTTTGGAGCCCTAGACCGGCTCCCCCAGGCCGTGCAGCTGCCGCGCGCTCGGCGGAAGGGTCACCGGGAAGGGCAACGGCGGGCTGTTGGGATGGTGTCGACCTGGGGTCGCGCGGCCGCGGCGACGAATGGCACCGCACGCTCCGGTCAGTGGGAACATGCCTGCGAGCGTCCTGTCAGGGTCTCCAGACTCCCCAGGCCAAAGACTTGTGGGGCGAAACCAGACAGGACACCCCTCAACAGGATGCTCCTGGTGTGTAGCTCAAATGGAGGCGTTTCGACTTTTCTCGGGTTCGGTTCGGAACATGGACTCGTCTACCCAGCCAGGGCCTTGGGCGGGTGAACCGACGACACCGGCAGAGCAAGGAGCGGTGTAAAGCAGCGCCGGAACTAGTGGAACTGCGGTGGGGGAACTGGGGAGGTTGGAGAGTTGATCTCCATCTTGGCAAAATGCCTCACTGTGCAAAACCAAAAGAAGAAGAAGCAGCAGCAGGAGGAGAATGGGCAGGTTCTGAGTCCTGGACAAACACGCCGAGCTATTTATTTCAGGGCGGCCGAAAAGAGCTTTGGACGCGAGCTCGGCGAGCTCGGTGGCCTTGCCAGGGCTGGCTGCCAGGGCACTCTTCCGAAAGGGCTCGAAGCTGTCCGGCTTGTGGTTCAAGGTGACCTTACTCAAGGCAAAGGCGAGAGGTCAACTCCCTGGAGGTCGACAAAGCCGGATTTGGAAGTCCCTGCAGGCAGGTTGTTTGAAGAGGTTCTCAAAAGCGCTACTGGTGTTTGGGCACTGAAATAGATCGAGATAGCCGAAATCTGGTTTTGGGCTTCACTCGTGTTGGAGGAACCGAAGGTGCTTCGTTCGTGCTGTCAAAAGACTCAGAAACGAAGGACCCAAAGCACTGTATCGACATATATCAGGTGATCGTCCGGCAGAAGCACTGGTGTCCCAGAAGAATTCAGGGAAAATCTACAGGAAAAAACATAATGTTCCACCCCTGAGCCGATGGGTTTCCTGTCGATCTTCCCTTTAGCCACATCTGGACGTTTTTCACACGCGCGTGCCTCACGTGCGATGTGTGGACCCCCTTTCAAGGGTCGGTGTTTCGAAACAAACTCCGATGTCCATCACTGGTCCATCACCTGGCCAGTACCATCTAACCAGTACAGTACCTTAGCCACCCCAACCGCACTCTCCAAAGTTCCAAGTTCCAAGACCCCATCTCAAACACTCAGGGGCCGGTCTCGAGGTCGCTGGGCCCCAAGCCAAGCCACCGAGCCAACGTCGTCCCACGCGGTTCCCGTCGTGCGACCCCTCCGCCGAGCCACGGCGTCGCCACCGGACTCGAAGCACTTCCGGCGCTTCTGAAGCACCGAGGGCGAGGTGAACTCGGCCAGACCTAAACCTGGGCAGGATGTGCGGCCAGGATGTGGGCCAGGTTTGGCCAGGAACTCTTTGGGTGTTTGGGGTGGGCCGGTCGGACCAGCAGCTTTTGGTGCGGGTGGTGTGAAAATGAACACGTCGGCTTTTCGTTTGGATAGACACACCTCAAAAACCAAGGGGGCCGTGGTATGTTTCCAGGTTTCTGGTGGTTTTTCAGGGAAGGAGCGGATGGAAGAACACCGAATGAGAAGAACAGTGAAACGGTCTAGGCGGTAGAAAGGGGCGGGGCGCCACTGCGCACAGCTGATTTGCCCACGTCATGAGCCACTGGGCCGGGCTGGGCACACTAGATAACTAGACAAACAATAACAATCACAAACAAAAAGCATGCTCAAAGAAAGAATGCATGCTAAAACAAACAAAATGGCTCTGCTGGAAAGTAATTTGAAGAAAGAAAGCCTGAGTGGCAGCTCTTGGTGCAGTGCAGCCCAAGCAACAGACGTATTGCACCATCCGCCCGAAGCAGCCCCGCACCCGTCGTCCGCCAGCGCTCTTCGCGCGCGAGCCGTCGGCCGAGGCGGGCGCCCCGCCCTGGTGGACCAGGCGGGAATCCCAGAGGATCACGTCACCCGGACCTTGGGGGCAGATCAGGCGGGAGCGAGCGCCGTGGAGAGATGGATCACGGCTGAACAAGGACAAGTGGTTGGTGGAGACTGGACCTGGAGTTTCTCTTTCTGCCTGGACCTGGGAACGGATGGAGATAGATGTGCCACGGATGGACAGGCCAGTGGACGGATGGCCACGGAATGTGTCTGGACAGTTCTTGGACAGTTCTTTTTCGGAGAACAACAAGGCTAGGAGACGTCGCCGAGCCCGAAAAAAAAGCAACACCCAGACTTGGGCAGAAGGCAAGGCATCTTTGGGTCTTTCGCAAACTCGTTGGCATCCAGCGAAAGGTCTTCACCTCAAACTCAAAAGGGCAGGCTTCACATTGAATTGTATGTCTTGAAATTTACAGAAGGCCTCATCCTTTTTCATCCAACCCAACCTCATCCCACCCCCCTTTCGTGGCGACTCCCTCTGGGTCGCTGGATCCTCTGTCCAACCAACCCCGTGTGTCCCGGGCGTCAGGCACTCGTGCCTCCCTGGCGCCTGGTGATGTGAGTTCGGTGAAGACCTTTCGCTGGAAAATGAACCGTGAACCACCATGCCTTCCCCAGCCATTGCCTCTCCCATGCCATCCTCATCCGAAGCCCGCAGCGTTCCTCGTCCCAGCGGCCCACCGTCACCCGCTGCCGCTGAAGCCCCTTGCCCTGAAGCCACCCGCGCCCAGCATCCGTCAGCAGCCGAAAGCTGCTCCCGCTGGGCGTCGCTTCGCAAAGGCCTGCGGAGCGTCGACGGGGACGTGTGAGGGTGGCTGGGCCGGCGACGCAACTGGGTGGGGACGTGTGTGCCAGGTCAAGTCGGGAAGAGCAAAGAAATGGACAAAGGTAACAGGAAGTGCTGTATGGTTGGCGTCTGTGTGTCTGGGATGGTCATTTTGGAGTGGTGAAATCCTTGAGCCGCTTCCACGAAGCAACCAAGAGGCGATTGAGAAGTTGGTTGCCCCTTTTAACATGGAAGCACCAATGGGACCAGGGGCAATGGAAGGGGCTCGAGGTTTAGAATGAGTTTGCCAATTCGCTGCATAGCGTGCAGCCGTCGGCAACAGCCGACTGCAATCGCAAAGGTCCGATGCTCCAACGTCCAACACGGTGAAATGGCCGGCCGAATCCGAAGGGCAGGCAGAACCAGCATGAGGTCAGGTCAGTGGTGAGTCACTTAGAAACTTGCATAAAGATTGGTTTTGGTCACCAGCATGCAGTATGTAGGAAGCTAGGTTGGAGGCCATCGCTAGTAGGGTCTTTCTTATTCACCCCTTTTTGGAACTCATCGAACGAGGGCGTGTAGATTCTCCTTCCCTTGCACACCGATTCGTCCTCCATGTCGCTGGCTTCGCCCTCCTCCGTCGTGCGCTCTTGCCTGCCGTCTTCTGCAGCGGCACAAAGATGTCGTCCTGCTGCGAGCCCGGCCAGCCTGGGAGGACGGCGCACCACGGCGCACCGTGCTGCGCCGTGGAAAACCATCGGCCACGGCACGACGGACAAACCGCGGAGACGGCGGAGACTGCGGCCCAAGGAGCACTCGAAGGCTGGCCCTTCGGCAGGATCCATGTCGTTCAATTGCACAAGGCCTCCAAAAGGGTCGCAGTGCACGGCATCTTGAACCCAAAAAGAGCATATGAGTGTTGCCCTGTGGTCTTGAGCATGCTGGATTTTCAGCGCTCACTATGGTGCCTATCCTTCGATAGCGGGCGACAAGCGCAACACTTCCTTCGTTGTTCAAGGTGACATGTCAAAGAGCTCCAACTCACTTGACCTTCAACTCAATTCCGTCCAATAAACCCACACGCTCCCGTTCACACGCTTGCCGCGGCGCGTGCCAACGCCTTGGATCCAGGTGCACCCCGTGCTCTCCCCATTGAGGAGCACCTTGCGGCGAGTGAAAAGTACCCGCAATTCACCGGCAGTTCGCATCCTAGAAGTCGAGAAAAATGAAAACATTTTCAGTCTCAGTTCAATCACGGTTCCGGGAATGTTACTTTTCACAATTTTCTCTCACCGAATGTGGAAGTCCCCTTCACGTCACGTGTCAGTACTTCAATCATCCAAAGAACAACACAGCTCCATTGACACCACCAAACTTATCACCCACCAACCCCAAACCCCTACTGGAGCAGCACCAAGCAGCATGTGACACTCCATTGTCGCAAATGCCCAATAAAACTTGTCGGCACCTGGTCCACCGGACAAATCCCCAGCACCATCCCTTTTCCCTGCCAGGAAGAACCAGTATTGAGACAACCCCTGGCCAGCCCTCCCTTTGCGCGACGCGATCCAAAGTCCGGTAGTGGCACGGCCCACAATAAGCAGTGCAAACACTGGGCTCACGACCGTCACGACCATGTCGAACCGAAAAATAGAAATAAAACATGTCCACGTCACGTCGCCTGATCCGTATGATCCCAATGAGACTTTCCCCAAAGTCTCTGTGAAGGCCGCCCAAAGTGGAAGCCATCCCAACCTCGCTTCGATCGAGCTGGATCCATGCCACTTACCGAGACCGAGTTCTTGCCAGGAGCTTCGTGGATCTTGCAGCTCTTTCAATTGAGAAAGGTGGCACAATGTAGATCGCCCCGTGAAGAAAAACCTCATCGTCTGTATCTCTGACCACCGCCCAAAACAAGGTTTGAATGACAAACCTTAACATCCAGACACGTCCCGACCAAGGTCTGATGCCCGGACCAGCCTCCGAAGCAGACCGGACCAGACTGGAGGCGTCGCTGAAGATAACCCGAAGCGCCCTCACCATCTCCAGAGATGAAAGGATCGAGGATCACCACAGATCCAGGTCCATCTCCACCACGCCAAGAGAGGTTAAGAGTGACCTTTAAAAGGGACCCGTCACCTCAATGACCTATGGCATAGTCGAACTAGGGTTCTTCAACCCACCTCTGTTGGTGTGCTGTTTTCTTCACACCAAGCACACACTCTTGGTCCGCACACCAGCTCCTCACCCAGCAGCTCGCGTGGTGCGGCACATCGGCATAAATGCCCCGTTCCACCAAGCGCTCTCGAAAGCGCAGCCGCTCCTGTCCCAGCTCCGATCGTCCCCATCGCTGCGGACCGGACGGCGTTTCACTAGCGTGCAAGTGTACACCCAGTAAAATGGTATTAGATACACCCGGTAAAACACTATGAACAACAAACTTTAACGGTCAACCCTCTCTGTTCATGGGCTTTGACGGGGCACTACTGTTGACACCTGTTTGACACCTCTACGATCCTCTACGACTGGGAGACGCAACGCACCAAAACACGACACAGATGACTACGGTCGCGACCAGAGGCCGTCCTCCCACAAAACCCAACCGGCGCCATGAAGCTGACAGAGGTTCTTCCCACGAGCCACCTGCGACCAATTCTCACTGCTCCAGGTGGTCTCCTGCAGCGCTGCACGCGAGCCGGTGGGTGTTTGCCCACAAGAATGCTCCTAAAATCCTGGCAAGTCTGTTGGAAACTTTGAAGAACACCAACACCACCCTTGTTGGATGCTTGTTGGATGGCAAACACCTGTGGTCCCTGGTGGGGGGGGCAACGTGCCACTGCTACCCGCACCGCCTGCCGCACCGGCGAAACGCTCCCGCAAAACGTTCCGCCTCTTTGGGGTCCAAGTTGGGACACCGTCCCGTGGCGAAGTCCCAGATCTTATCCACCGCCAAGTCACCTGGGCCATTTTGTTGGAACTTTTGGAGGGTCAGGGTCGCGTGACCAGGTCCGGTGGCGAAGTCCCATGTCATGGCCATTCAGGGCCCAGGAAGCCAAGCAATTGAAGCCGTGTATGTATGTGTGTGTGTTGAGATGTTCATTGATGGACCCAAAATTGGTGCAAAGAAACACTCACTTCAGCCTTAAGTGCTTTCTCCACCAACCTCAATCCAAAACGCTCAGCCGTGCCGACCTCCTTCACCTCCCGGCTCTGTTCGCCGGGCTCCTTCACCGAGCGCACTGAGCGAGCGAGGCGCACTCCGCAGGAGTGAAGACGCCATGAAGCACCGCGAAGCCGTCCTTCAACAGGCCTCGCCGAACGGTGAGGTTGGAGGGGGGAGGAAAGTGTCCCAGGTCTCCGTTTCACGCATCGTATCGCATCGTGCATCGCTAGGTGAGGTTTGGTTGCCAGGCCAATTGCTGTTAGGTTGGAGGGTGGGGGGGAAGTGTCCGGAGTTGTTTTCACCGAAGGAAAGGGCCGGCAGAGCGGCCGGCAGTGCTGGCAGAGCGGGTTTTCTTGAGCTTTTCAGCTTTTCGCTCTTTCATGGCGTGAGGTTGGCACTCTCGTCCAAGCACATCACCCATCAGGAATCCACCGTGGACGAGTACTCGCCTCAAAACCTCGCTGGACGAGTTTCGGGGCTCGTCGCGCCGAAAACCCACAGAGTCACATGGAAGGAGGAGTTCTCACCGTTGTGATGGGGGATTGTTGGGGGGGGGCAAGCGAAACCGCTACACTCTGAACACAGAAAACACGGTGACACGTGGTGTTCACCGTTCGGTCGTAAAGGAAAGGTCTTCTCTTCAGGACCAGTGTTCGTCAGAGGCTGATTCTTGATCACTCCGACTGGGTCAGTAGGGGATGTCCAGCCAGGACAACAAAGCGGGACACTCCGCAACTGTCCAAAACTTGTTACAGGTCTGGCAGTTCCGGAGTGCTTATTGGAGGGTAGAGGTGCCCATGATCCACTCACTGGACGGGTCTTAGGGGTGGTCCCCAACACGGAACTCCTGGCTTCTCCACTGAACTCCTGCTTCACCTGTTCGACGGTGTGCGCCAGGCGCGGGCGCCCTGCCTGCCAAAGCCTCACGTCCCCACTCGGTGCGGAGGTTAAAGAGCGCCAGCGCTCGATGTCGCCCGCCTGTAGCGGTGTCCCGAAAGCGTCACACGTCGTCCTTTGGAAGACTTTGTTAGTTTTGATTTGAGAGTCATTGATTTGTTGATTTTTGTGCACATCCTTTTGCTGCACATCCTTTGACTCGCGATTTGTTGATTTGTGTGGTCCAAACAAATAGTTTTGTTCACATCCTCAATCTGAAAGATGTGCGCGGCCAACCTAAGCCAGCAGCCAGTCCCACATGGTGTGCGCGCGACCAACCGAGGGATTGAAGCTCAAAGTCCAAAAACATGCTGGAAAGTGAAGCAATAGTTGGATACACTAATTATATCTAATTATGATACATGAAATCAGTGTATCCCAAAACACTCCATGTGACTGGAAGCATGCCGCCCCAGAAAGACCTCTGTTCAACCAGCCCAAGGCCCCATGGGAATATGCCAGTCCCATGTGTCGTGTCTGGGTATAGGTTTCTCTCGCTTCAACTACCATACATTGACGAAAACTGCTTTGAGTCTGTCCATCACTATCATGGGGTGTGTTGAGGAAGTGGCCTTGACCAGACAGAGCCATGAAGGTCCAATACTATAGATTTGACCACAAAACAGTGAAAATGAATCTCCAAGTGAGAGGTTGGTATTTGTTTGGTCGAATCATCGTGAACTTCGGCGCCGCGACTCAGCTCAGCCCAGCTAAAAGTGCTTTAGGTTGATCATCACCCAATGCGAAGTGCGTGCATCAAATGGAGGATTCTCGGTCGCTTGGCAAGAGACTATAGGTGCCCAGATGCGACCGAAAAGGCTTTCTCAGCATTCAAAGCTAGGCGTTTCCAGGATCCGTTCGTTTTGTCCTAGAACAACCAAAACGAGCGCCTTTATTAGTAAGGTACTTCGACTTCGCCGAGGCATTAAGATGGATGCAAAATCAACCTAAAAAGTGAAGATTTCACATGCCAGGCTCCTCGCGTGCCTTCTCAAATCCCATCCAAAACCCCTCACACACGTTCCCAACTAAAGCTGAACAATGTCATCAAGCTCCCCAAACCACGCCCAGCCCAGCCTAGGAGCTTCTCCTCCCGCCCACGCGGCACTGGAGGCACCGCTGGTGCGGGCGCTGCTGGTGTGGGCGCTGCTGGTGTGGGCGCCGTGCGTGACGGGCTGCGCGCCTTCGGTGTCTTCTTCGGCGCTGTCTTCGGCGCCTTCTTCGGCTTCTGAGCCTCACAGAAGAGTGAAAAATGTCAACCTGGAAGGGTTTGACCTCACAATCTTTTACTGAACCCTGGAAGGGTTTGACCTGGAAGGGTTACTGGGCCTCACTTGTGAGGCTAGTTCTTACTGTCACTCTTCTGTTACTACTTCGGTCCAAAGGACTGACCACATGTGCTGCTTCTCACCGGGGATCGGTTGGACTCACGGACACCCATTGAGACCTGGGTGTGCAACAGGGTGCAACTGGGTGTGATACCTGAGGCTTGCAGGCTGAGGGGAGGGCTGACTCGCCCCAAGACCCCCCCCCCGCCCCCCCCCCCCGCCTCCGTCGCGGGCCGCTTGAGCCCGCGCCCACGCCCACGCCCGCGCGAGGAGCTGCCGGCAGCTGAAGCACGTGGAGTACCTGGCTAACACAGACTGAGCAACGAAACAGTGGAAAGAGAGGTTAAGTGACCTTATGGGACCCTACTATATAAAATACCGATGGGGTAGTCCATAATATGTTGGGTGATCCCGAGAATGGCATGGTTGCAACAAAGGTTTGCTGCATTGTACAAGTATATATACCGACCACTGCTAGGTCATGAAGTCTCCCTATGCAACCTGTGACACCAACCTGGTTGTGTTACAGAAGGCCTGCAAACCTTTTGTTCGGTTGATACTGAAGGCAGTAAAGGCCGTCCAAGATGCTGGGTCACAAAGCCTTTTGGAGGATAAGTCACTGAAGAAAGTTGAATCAAACACAACCACGACAGCCCAGCGGTCGCTGGTGGTCGCTGGCGGTTCTTGCTGTAACGACGTCGAGTTCCCCATGGTTCGTCCGAGCTGCGGGGGCACGTCCTTGGTGTCTCACGCGGCGCGCGCGGCGTGACGTGTTGAAGTAGCTCGCTCGCTGGATGCTGCGAAGGGGGCCAGGGCTTCGAGGGAAGAAGAAGACACTGGAAGCCCAAAAAGGTGTGGAGACAACAAGACAACAGTGGAGAAACAAGACAAGAAGACAACAAGACAAGACAACAACAAAAAGGTGTGGAGATTCAGGACAATCGGACAACCAGTTCTGTGAGAGAAATTCAAGACAGGAAGATTTGGTTGAAGTTGTTGGTCTTGAGTCCTGAAATCTGCGGTTGAAGTTGTGTATATCAATCTGACAGAAGATCACGATATCTAGGTGGTCACTGTTGCTTCAGACTGCTTGAGTCTCCATGTGATGTGCTTGACCCTGCTTTTTGTTTAAACATGTGTCAACAACTGTCTGATTTAAAGTTTGGAGCGAGACCCCCACAGCAAGAGTTGACCAAACCAAGACTTCAATTGCAGGTGAATGGCTGGTGAATGATCTATGAATGGCTGGTTAATGCTCTCAACCCTCCCAGCTTTTTGGCCAATCCACCAGAGCACATGACAGCTTTTTGGCCCTTGTTCCTAGTAGCTGCTTGTTTTGGTTCGATCGACAAACCATCTGAGGAACGAAGATCCACGAATCCACGACGCTCTCGCCTGGTGTTCCAGGACTCTTGGGCGGCCGGCCCCGCTTGCCTGGTGTTGCTGTAAAGAAGCGCAAATTGTGATGTTTTGTGTGTTTGTGTTTGTGTGGATGGCTTTGGGAATCCTTGACCTGTTGAGCAATCTCATCCAAGTGGATCAATCAAACAGCTTATTGAAGCTTTTGATGTAAAGCCGGTCAGCGGTCAACCCGCTGTTTGGGTGGATATAAGACCTAAGACTTAAGAGTGGTAGAAAGGTGTGAAGCCCCTGAAACGGAGGAAGCTAGCTTAGCGTGCTTCGTGATCTAATGTGGTGATCTGCTGTGGTGATTCACGGCGTGAGATGATTGGTGAATTTCCAATGCAACAATTGGTGCTTTTTTTTAGCGTGATGAACGTGCTGGTGATTTTTGTCATGTGTGGTCCGTGTGTTTTTTTATGTGACGTGGTGGTGATTGGTGATGATGGTAAAGCATGGTGAAGTATCAATACTACCAGGACCCTCCAAGGGGTGTCTATTTATAGCCTCTTAGCTGTTAAGGGATGTCCATTAACCACCCCTTGGGGGTCCTGGTATGTAATGTGCTGATTTGTGAATGGTGGTTTTTCATACTTTGACGACCCTCAAAGCACACACTTCCCGCCAAAGAAATCGAAGCATGTTTTTGCGTACTCTCAAACGAACAGAAGCACAACAGAATGCACTTGTCAGCCAGCAACTCTTCCTGCAATCCTGTTCAGACAGGTCAATCCTCTTGGATTATTCCACAAATGAACACTCACCTTGCAAAGAAAATCAATCAACACTCAGTCAGTGGGATGCCTCGATTGCTTTGAAACGGTTTCGGTCTCTGTGAACCATCCTTCGATCTTCCACGGCCCAGCGGTGTTTCTAGGTGAGACGTCTCGCACCCCGAACTGCCAAGCGTTCAGCGCTTCTTGTGGGGTCTAAAACCCTCCACCAAACGGTCGGTCGCGTGAAAGACCCGCGCTGCGCCAAAGCGGAAAACACCGATGCTCCGCCCAGCCACGGCGCTCGACCTCCTGAGGGTGTCGGGGGCGACTTGGAGGAGATCTTCGGGCTTTAGAGACCTTGGGATGGACGAGGTCCTTTCGACCTCGGGCCTAGGCTACCCCGCCCAGGGGTCAGCCCCTCCTTTAAAGAAGGAAAGTAGACCCGAGGCCGATGACAAACCGCACTACCTTGGGCCCTTCGGGCCTGGAGTTCTAACTGAGCTATTTAAAAATGTTAAAAGGCTATCTATTTGGCGTAGGCCGTGCTTGGACATGGATTGAAGGAACGCTGAACCACTTCCAGCCACACAGTCCTTCTCCTTCACCTCTTCCGCGGGGTCTGGACTTCCACATGCCTGAATGGGAAGAAAATGAACCAAGAAAGGAGCTTCTTCAGAAGTTGAGGAAGGACTTTCTGATGCCAAAAAGAACTCCCTTGCCAGGTCTAGCAGGTCCCCTCACCTGGTCTGGGCGCTCAAACTCTCAGGTTCCTGGGCGCTTCCAAAAACCCTTAAAAAACCCACTCAACTCATCCTCCAGGTCGCTGGGGTGGCAGGTTGTGGTATGTTTGGGTCGTAGCTTGGTGGGTTTTGGGTCACAAGTTCCACTCCCGAACCGCACGCTCTCCCCATCTCCAAACCGCGGCACTCGGTGGTTCCACTGTGCGGAGCCAGAGACCGAGTAGCGTCGTCGAGCGGGGTGGAAACGGAGCGTCGTTCCGGATGCGTGTCCCATCCACTCACTTCCGGAACTGGACACGAAAATGAACTACTCCACTACCATGGGGGTCAAATGAGTATAAATGAGTCATCACTGAACTCATCGACCACGTCCCTCCAACTTCCACGTCTCAAGCGGGTAGCAAACGAGAAAAAGCCGAGGAGAGTCCAGGATGGTTTATTTGACCCCAACCCTGCCAACCCTGCAGGGGTGGATCCTTAGGGCTCCTGGCCTATACCTCCTGAGAAGATGGTTGGGCTGGGTGCCAGGGGGTTAGAAGACACCACTTTCTGAGGAAAAAGGTTCGAACCCCAGGGGATTTTGACTTCCAGGTGGAATAAGTCATTGGGAGTTCTGCAGTTTGAAATCTTTTCCACTCAAAGCAAGCACCTACGACCAGGCTCCAAGATTGCACCTGTGGATTTCGGGCATCTATATGACAAGCACCTCGCCGATGTTTGTCGGCCGTCAGTCTTTCCGCTGAAAAACATCTCAGCACGAAAAACACCCGTCAGCATGAAAACCTTGGTCCCACCCATAGGTCGACCCTTGATGGAGATGGGCCCATCGACGGGCACACGTTGCATGGGCCCACCTCCTCCTGGTCCACCCGGCGTTCGACCGAAGAAGGCCGCTCCCGAAATTCAGGACCGTTCCTTGGTGGTGCAGCCTCCACCCACCAAGCCTGGCCGTCGACAATGCCCCACAAATCGCGCTGGAGCCGCGCCAACAAGAAGGCCATCCGCCAACCTCACCCATCGCCGGACCAGCTACTGCGATGGTCCGAAGAAAGGCGACGGGGAGGGGGACCGAGGAAGAAAAGACCGTGGCGGCACAGGGTCTCACGCCGGGGATTTGACCGTCTGACCTGGGCAAAACTTGGCAGATACAGGTCCAGCCGACTCATCAACCGTTGACATTCGGACACGCCTGGCAGGAGCTGAAGGGAGAATCGGTGGCTGCGGGTGGAGGCTGGGGTCTTGTGGAATGTCTGCACCTCGTGCTTTTTAGTTCTCAACACTTCTGTTTCTTTTGGTGCGCAATCGGCTCATCACTGCAACAGGCTCAAAACCAGATACCGCGCGCGAATTTCAGCAACTGATCTCAGTCAATTTATTTTGGACTCCCAGCTCTTTCAACCGTGTCATTGATTCACTTCACTTCAACGCCGCCTTTGTCAAAAAATACACCCGTTTTTGGGCCCAAAAATACACCTCATTCAAAAAAGCATCAAAGTCCCCTGAACTCAACACGTCCCTAGTCCTGAACTCCCCTTCTCCACCCCTTCTCCACCCCTACTCCATGGTCTCCATGAGGCTCCATTCTCCGGTTTCTCGTCTCACCATCCATCACACCCGCCCGTTGGACCTCGCTTGGACGGTGACGCGCCCATCCAAACCCCTCCGGACCGTCCGTCCGTCGACCGGTCGACCAACCAAGGCGCTCTTCCAAACGGTCTTGTTGAACCAGCGGGTGCCCTTGCCGTTGGGATGCCGCGCGACCCACCCGGCGCCTCGGACGACGGACGAACGGGGTGAACGAGAACGGTGAGGGTTTGGACTCGGGGTGAGTGACTCGAACGGGGTGAACGAGAAGGACTCCGCTGTTCGGCGTGAAGACGAGGTCTTTTTTGGGGTAGGAAGAGGCCAAGAATGCCGGATTCATTGCGATGCATGAATTTTACGCATGAGAAAAGAGAAGAAGGGGCTGACGGTTCCAACGTTTAAACAAATACCTGCAACCACCAAGCGCGATAATCTAACTACAAACAGAACGAATCATTCCAATTTTCTTGAAGTCTTGAAACCGGGGCAGAACCAACTTCTGTTGAAGCAACCTCCCCATTCAAAACCACACCGCCCCCTGGAAACAGGAACGAACTCCACCCACCCGGGCCAGCCTTCCCTTCCCTTCCACCACCCCACCACTCCGGCCTTTCTCGTCTTTCCACCTCCGTACGCCATCGGGCAGCTCCTCTTGCGCCAGCAAACCCTCCCGTCCGTCCGCCAACTCCGCCTGCCAACGAACGGAGCAAGAGAAACCCACGCGCCGATGACACCACGAACGGAGGGATGGCCGGAGCCTTGTCACGGCCTTTTCACGAGGTGGACGAGGTTGGGGAGTGCGTTTGGCCAGCCGCGCACCCGGAGTGGCCCTTAGACCCCCCGCGGCTCGCCGCTTCGAGGCTTCCACCCGAACGAACGTCCCCCACCCGGGACCCGGGGCTCGCCGAACGCCACGCCTCGTCCAGGATGAGGGCCTTCAGATCGTCATAGTCGCTCAATTGCAAGAGGCCCTGGGCATCCTTGATGGCTCCTCACCGCAGGACGAAGACCAAACCGTTTTTTCTGCTTCGCCGATCGTCCCAACGAGTGCAGCAGTGCAGCTGTTTTCAGCCCACGGAAGTCCCACGGAAGCTGAGCATCGAAGGATTCCCAGAGAGTTGATGGGCTCACCAGGATTGGCCAATGAGTTGGGGTGGTTTCATGTGGCATTCAGGTCAATGTAGGGATAGATTCCATATATTTGAGGTATGGACGTAGCCAACATCCGTGGCGCCGAACATGGGCCGCTTGGGAATGGACCTCGTGACCAGAGCGTGTGCATGTGGGACCCGAATGCACAGTTGGTGCTCGAGAGCAGGGCTCGAGCCAATTCTTTTGCCAAAACCCCATCTCCGCCGAGAAAATACAAGAAGAATACCCGTCTCCTTGTGTTGAGAGGCGTTCATCCAGCATGTCAGCACTCACAGTCAGTGGTACCCCCCCCTTTATGCCCCTGAATGCAGGCAAGTGCTTGGACGGTCGCATTTCACTACTCTCTTGTTTCCATTCTGGAACGCAAGCTGCGGAAAAAACTAAAAAAATAGATCGTCGTTTGTGTACACAATTGACAATCAGAACTGGATAGCTCAAACAAGGCTTTAAAAAGTGTTAGGACAACATCCATGCGCCTGCAAGCTGAGTTCAAGCCATCAAAGAACGGCGCCGTTCATCCGGTGACTGGACTCACTGCGTTTCCGCAGAAAAATGGACCGATGTGCTTCCGCATTCAACTCTGAAAACCGACCAGTTGCGCCCAACAGATTGAAACTGGATGATTTTTTGGCATACGAAACTGCGCTGGAATCATGCAAGGTCCACCACCGGAAAAAAGTCACCCGGCCGCGACAGGCGTTTTCGGATGGATGGGTCAACCATTTAAAAGATCGATTGGTCCGTTCAACAAGGGTCCCTCCCAAAACGAAGTACAGAAACTGGATGGACGACCTGAGGTTGATCGTTTGGGATTTGGGCAAAAGACCACCGACCAAGAACAGAACAGTATACCTGAGGGTGGTTTTCATGGCTTGCAGAACTCAGTTCTCCCTGTCTTTCCCACCCATGGAACAAAAGGGTCTCCTCAACCCGGCCGCGCAATTAAAAAAGAAGGAGGAAGAAGGGTGAGAGCGAGAGACAGGAGCAAGAGCATGTCTTGAAGTAAGAAGCAATATTCCATGACCGTTTCTCTCAAGGAAGAACAACTCTGGAGAAACGTTGGATTCATATCCGTGGCGTTCTTGCTCCAATATGTTGCCCCCCCCCCACAGCATGTTTGGTGTGCAAGGCCAAACCACGGAAATGTTGGTGTGCCATGGATGCCATGCTTGCGCGAAGAAAAAATAAAGAAAACTTCTTCGCGCAAGCAAGATGCACAAGCACAGATTCTCTTATCCAAGTGAACGAAACGGACCCAATTCCTTCACGCGATGGCCCCACTGAGTCCCACGGCAATAACCTTGCATCCTCTGCCATGACGAATGCGTTTTGACGGCCACGAGGTCCCCCCCCCCAGTGCCACGCATGTACTGTCGCTTCGATTGATCTGGTGAGGGAGCTTGCACGGTGACCTGTCTGGAAAGGCTTTATGGAGCCTCAGCAAGTCATTTCAAGCATTGAAGTATCTTCACGACTTTTACTCATCGGTACTAATAACTAATAACCAATCGTGATGATGAGTGGCTGCAAGTTTTCAGGTCTGCGTTTCACATATCATGAGGAACCTTGAGCAGAACGAGATACTGGGAAAAACCTGCGCTGCCGCTGCACGAGGGATCCATAGCCAACGCAGGAGAGTTCTGGGAAAACCTGTGCATCCACCTGGCCACCCAGAAACTCTCAAAAACGACGCATCGAGTCCCATGTGGAGTCCCGAAGTTTGGGCCACCCAGGAGTCCTGGCATACATGACCATCGTCCTTTATCAGAACTGGTGTCATCAGAATTAGCAAGCTTCTGTCCTATCTCTATCTCTTGGTGGCTCAATACGAGCTAGCAGCTAGGGTCGCATGATGCGAGCTGCAGCCCAATCAGTAGATTGCTTCAGCACTCCTTGTTCCAAGGGAGGTCAAGTGACCTTGTAAACTATAGGATTCTCCTGGGGTACCTATAGGATAGTCTATATGGTCCTTCAACCTCTATTGGTTTGAGCGGACTGCGCTCACTTGCCGCTTTCAGCCCGGTGCCCCAGTCCTCGCAAAACCCACAGGATGTCTTGTGGAGCGGCACCTCTTGCTCCTCCCAAAGTAAACTCCCAACAAAACCATACAAAACCTGTTTCAAAGGACTCCTAAACTTTGCATTCTGCACGCGACCCAAGGTTACTTCCTCTCAGCAAGTGGTGAGGGGCAGTTCTCTTCATGGTGAGGGGCTTGACTTCTTCACTGGGCTTCCGCGGTGTTCAGCCGCCGCAATTTTCCGACGCAGCGCAGGAGGTGAGGCCAGCCCACCTGATGCATGGTTGCTCCATGTGTTTTTGCCATTGAAAAAAGACACACATGAGGCACCTGCAAAAAATGTCAGCCTACATTGTCCTGATTGAATGTGTGTGTTGCTACATCGTCCCTCTCTTCAGCTGCTACCAAAACCAAACGTTCCATCTCTTTCTGCACACACATGAGTGTCCTATCCGGCACCGTGAACCCTCAAAGCCCTCCCAGCCCTCCCGTCACCCGCCGCCCTTCCGCGGGGACCGCGCCTGTGACAAATGATCTAACTTCAGCGGCACTCCCTTTGGCATGGACACTGAGACACCTCGTCACGTCCATCTTCACCAGAAGTCGAGTCGGTGGATTCATGAAATTCACCAGTCGAGTCGGTGTCAGTTTGAGATTCGTTCGATTTCAGCATCCAAGGTGATCGCGTTTTTGCCTGGAGCCGCACATCCGCAGCTCCGTTCTCTTTCGTTTACCTTCCTTGGAGCTATCAGAGCCTGTGTGCCCAACTGTGATTGGGCAGCGGCGTCCCCTTCAGGGTGGACCTCGGAAAAACGGCACTCATGGGCCACACCAAAGTATTGGAAAACACATCGTCCCACAAGATGTTCCCCCTTTGGTGCTTGCTGGATCACGTTTTTGTAGATTCAGGTGTTAATGAAAGACTCAGGTGTTTCACCCTTGTTGAGCGTGATTTCCCTCCTTGTTGAGCAGATTCAAGTGTTGAAAGGCATGAAAGTGCTGTCGATGCAACCGTGCGAAGCATCACCAATGTGCTGTCGATACATATGCCTGGCAAAGAGATCAGGCCAGCAATAAGCAGCGCAACAGTCTGGTACGATTTAGGTCTAGTGGAGCTTTTTGGGGCTCCGAGCACCGTGTAATCCACCGTGGAATCCTTGCGTTTTCGGCGCAGAAGCTCAAACCAATTAACCAAGTCACCAACGAACATGGGGCCGGATGAGCCCCGTGCTTGTTTTCACATCTACCGAATGTAAAGTCTTTCATGGCGAAAATATTGGCATCATTAGCATCCTGAATTTGTTTGCTGCAAGTCAACCATGAATTCGGAAGCCTGTTGAAATAGGAGAACTGCCCTTTACGCTGGCTCCAAAGGAAATCCCAGAAATATCGGCCCCAGAAACCGGCGGCGGTCGCTCATCTCTCCTCACTCATCTCCACGTCTTCCAAGGATGAGGCATCGAGCGAGCGCAGCCCACCTGGAGCAGCTCAGTGAGGAAAAACTCGGTCCGGGGCTGTCCTGAGATGTCCATCTGCCAAAACCGACTGCTGGGGTCGGATCTTGGAATCCACAGTGAATAGCTCTCTCATGAGCCACCACCATTTTCTGGCAGAAGAGTTGGAACCTTGTGAGAAAAGAGGCTCAAGGCCAAACGCCTCAAACGCCTCAAACGCAGGAATGGCCAAATCATCTTGCGCCTGATAAGCCACTCCCCAGCGTCTTCAGCCACGCCTGCGGCAAAGCATCACAGGAAAGTGCTTAAACCCCAAACAGTCAGAAAAAACCACCGACAGCAGATTGAACCACCGAATCCCAAGCAAATTGCATAGAAGCACAAATTGGTCAATTTGGGGGATTGGATTGTTTCTTCTGTCTGTTCAGGTTTCAGTTCTTATTCATGTTTTGGAACTTGTCATGCCGCCGCAGTCGGTCTTCAGTGCGCCCAATCACTATAGGTATAGAAGCTTGGTGCCCAGGAAAAACCTTCCAAACAAGCATTTGTTGAAGCTGACTCGTCTCGGCAAGTTTCTCCAAAATGGCATCCCATCCATCCCTTTCACACTGACTCCGGGTTTATTTTTCGGGAAGTCTGGTGCATCCATGCGTCAAACGACTCGGGGGGCTTGCCCTCTCAGGGCTTGCACGATGAGTCCGTTTGCCACCAACGTTTGGCTCCTTCGCGCAATGGCAGGCTGTACAAGATTAAGCCAGGAAAAGCATGGGAGCTGAAGCCTCCTTCTTGGTCCACATGTCGAAGAAGTGATGAGCCTGAGATTCAGTTCATGGTGGACCAAGCATTTCTAAGGTGAGTCTATTGGGCTTCCCTTTTTCTACATGTCTGCCAACTTCTCAGGAGCACTTCTACAAGTGTCAAACAGTTAATGATGCAGGTGATGTGTGTCTTTACACTAAACATCACTAGCGTGAAAAAAGGACAACAACAAGCGCATTGGGCAACTGACTTCATAGGTGTTTCAAGCAAACACTTTCTTTTTGTTATGGCTGCCAGTCTGAGCTCTGCACCAGCTCGGTCTCCTGGCCAGCGAGGGGAGGAAGGGAGGGCAGTGATGCGTGAAGAACAATGTTCTTAACAATGTTCTTGAGTGAAACATCAATGACGTTACTATAGACTTTTCAGCCCACTGGGTGCTTTCCAAACGGCTCCAACCACATGCGCAGTGCTTTTTCAAAACGAGTCCAAAGCTCTCTGACTCTCTGACTCTCTGACTCTCTCAGACTCTCTTTTTTGGAATAGCTCTCTGACTCTCTCTCTCTCTCCCTCTCTCCGATTCCCTCTTCCAGACTTTTCTCATGTCGCAGGGCGCTCCCACCACTGCGATGCCATCGGGCCGCCTCCACGCGTCGCAGGGCTGAGACCTCCTCCGCCGTGAAGAAGCGCTTCGCAAGGCGTAAGAAGGGCCTCCAACTTCGGGGCTTTGAGTTTTGAGGGAAACGAAGAAAGAAAAGGCGGGTTTTCAGGGGTGTGATCCATGTGATGGATGGGTTGTTGGGATGCAAAACTGGATGGGCTGCTTCTTATTGGTGGCCAGCAGAAAGCTTTTGAGATGGGACCAACAGAAAGCTTTCTGGAGGCTCAACACATAAAACGGGAAGACTCCAGCGCTGTTTCAGTGCACTTGGGATTATTTTTGAGAACATTCAGAGTCGTTCAATCAATGATGTTGTGAGCCATCACAGCCCCATCCGATGGATTCGAGAAGATTGGCTGGCTGGCTGCGCCTGGGCCGACGCTCTTCCAGGTCAACGCCGACAGAGCCTTGGTCAACGCCGTGCAGGATGGATCAGTGCAGAGCAGCTTTTGGTGAGAATCTGCCCAATGGGAGCACCTGGTACATTGCGGCTTTGAAGGAGCAAGGGGCGGGTCTACAACTTCTGCATGCAAAGTCTAAGTCTGTTTCAGAGTGTCATTGTAGAAGTGATCATGCATTTCTGGATTCTGGATCAAATTGTTCTCAACACCTTCTACAATGGCTAGCTTTAAAAACACATGGCAATAACAAGCCGTCAAACCAGCATTGCTTGTGCTTTACAAGACAAGCCGTCAAAACCGTCCAAAACCGGGTGCCGCGGACCAAGCGCAGGCTCCAAGAAGAGGATCGCGCCCGCCTGATTCCGCCGAATCTGCCGGTCGCAGGAGGAGGGAAGTGGGGCACCGAGTGGAAAGTCTCCAAAGAGACAGGTTGGATGCAAAGACTCTGGAGGAAGTTCCTTTGAATATCAGGAAAAAAAAATGAAGAACAGATTCGTGCTTAAAAGCGTAGGTTTCAATTCAATGTCCTTTTGGAACACTTTTGTGATCCAGGAGCACTTTCCTTGATGTCTTTGGCACATTGACAACACAAGTTACTCAAGCAGCATGCCTTAGGTCTTAGGTAGCCTATGACATATGAGATTTCACTGATCGTTCTGGTCGATACATTCGGTCTCAGATTTCAGCCCTTCCTACACAAGCATTCCCAAGCTCTCCTTCCTGGAAACCTAAACAATCCAGAAGGAGAGCTTGCTCCAATATGGCGCCAGCTTGAGATCCTTTACATAGGAAATGGCGACTGCGGAGTTCCATCCAGACATGTTTCTGGGTGTCCTGGATGTCCAGGTTACACATGGTTTCAGCAAGGCCCAGAAAGCTCTCGAAAACCCAAACCTGGGGAGTCGAGGAGAGGGCACGGTGAGGGCAATTCTGTCAAGTGGTGTTGCTTTTTGGAGCGGGAAAAGGACAAGGAAGTGTTCCTTCTGAAAACGTGTTGCTTCGCATGCAAAGCCCTCCCAAATTCCAATACCCTATAACCTATAATTATTAATTTGTAAGTCTACCAATTCCTTGACTGAGATGGGAGAACCGCCACTCCAGCCAAAGCAAGATTGCCCGCACAAGCCAAAAACCACGACCTGAACGAAGACCAAACCCCAGAATTCAGGTCCAAATCCAGAACTGATGTGCTCTCCGGCACCCTCTCAACTGCGGCTGCGCCTGCCCCGAGTGCGACACGCTGAAGCTCAGCTGCTTTCGCGCCCAAGGAGTGGCCAACTCTGGCCTTGGAGCGTCGAAAGGACTCCCGACTGCTTGGCTGTTGGGTTGTGTGGTGAGGGATCATGAGACTATCCGGAGATCCGGAGGAAGGCTCAAACAGCTTGCTTCTGTTGCGAGGGAAATCCAAGTTCCTTCTTTGACTGTCGACGGCTTGCGGACCAAAGACCAAACTTGAGCGAACCCATGAAAAGCACTGAAGGACGCGTGGAACGTCGTCTTCGGCACATAATTCTCTGTGAATGAACTCAGCGATCTGGTTTGATGGGTCGTATGGTGTTGTTCTATCTTTTATACTTTGCAGTTGATTCGTTGATGGTTTACACAATGGTGCAGTCCTCATGGGTCTGCTTTCATCTCAGGTGGGAGAGGTGCTTGCGCGGGCACGTTTTAAAAACGCAGTGCAGTTCGGGGACCCTTCCAGCTACTGCGCTTGATGAGGATTCCATCCCTGGATCTCCAAAACAGAACCCGTGAATCCCATGGCCTCGACCTTCTCTTGCTGAGGATGGACCCTGTGGATCGCCACAGGTCCTGGTGGACGCTTTCCTTCGGCCGGTCCAAATGAGGCGTTTTCTCGGGCAAGGGGCTTCCCATGTGGGCCATATTGGAACTGCAGCTCTTGTGGCTCCACACCTGCCCAGGGGGGCTGCTGGTCCAAGCTACGCTGGGATCAGGGTGGAGTAGAGGGGAGATGGATGCAGTTACGTGAGCTTCCCAAAGGAATTCTGACACTGATTAGCTTGAACCCAAGTTTCCCCACCTGAAAAAGCGGGAGAACACCTTGTTTCACACCAACGAACATCAGGCGCTAGCACATGTGGCACCCTAGCTGACGCAGGGGGTCCTTGATCTGCCAACATGCTCGGAGCTTGCTGGCCAAAAAGTCTCAAACATGAATTGAACTTTGATCACTCTTTTCCTTGTTAACAATAAGTCGAAAATCCTTTGCTAACGTGACGCAGACTCTCCGCCTAGGCGTTCTGCCAGGATTGCACGCAGCGCCGCGCGCATCCAAACCTGGGCCCAGCAGTCTGAGGGCTTCTGGGCCCGGCGTCCATTGATGGGATAGGGCCACTGTCAAATACGTTCTGCGCAAGATTCGGCTAGATTCAGCTATATGCTATATATAGATATGTCAAAACTGCAGCTGCTTCAAAACTTCTTCGAACCTCCTGAACCATTCTTCCCAAAGTGAACCACGGCGACATGCACTCACATCTGCTCGACTGAGGCGTTTCGTACCCATCTTCAGATGAATGTTGCTCCATGGTAGGAAGACAAGTGGCAAAATTCCACAGATTCATACAGCTCCATCCATGGAGAAAGCTTTCGTATTTCCATTCCTTCCAATCCGGTTGGAGCCATGACCACACAGCAGCAGCGCTTCCACAGCGCCCACCAGCCCCACCGCTCCGGTCCCACTGGGCTCCCCGGGCGAAGCGCCGCCGGGCGCCCGGCGCGTCGAAGGTCTCGGCGCGGCGCAGCTCGTCGGAGCCTTCGGGGCGGTTCGGATGGCCGAAGCGGTGTCGAGAGGGTCTTCCTTCGGTGTCCTGGGAAGTCTGGGAAGTCCCAAAGATCGGTCTGGGAAGTCCTGGCGATGCCAGTGGAAGAGAAGTGGGTGAAGAAGTGGGTGTGAAGGAAGCGAGGAGGTTCTGTCCAAAGTGATCGGAGCATGTCACCCGCAAAGCAAAGCGGCTAAGTCATGAAAGAATTTCTCATGGTGAGCTGGAAAAAGCCGTTCATCAGGCCTCGGACCTTGGAGTTGCATGAAGATCTACAGGAAATTCGGGTCATCTCATTCATGTTTCGCCTATCAGACTATCACCTTCTTGGGTGAATGCGAGCGGACTCTTCCTTGAAAAAGCATGGAAGTGGGCTCCAAATCAGAAAAAACCGAAGATGATGGGGCGCTATGGATGGTTTGACTGCTGGATGTCTCAAATTGGACGTTCTTGAGAAGGCCTGCGTTACAGAAAATCCTGTTTCAGCCAACAGGAGAATGATCTTGAATGCTACAGTATGTGACGTGAGCACCAAAGCCTCCCTTCGCGGACGATGAGGGTGCCACTGCTGAGTATGATACACCCCACAATGAGCCCAACGAGCAGCAACGAGCTCCTCAACCCATCAAAGTTCCTTCAGCATGTTCAGCTCTCAAAAAGAACGAACACGTCCATCAGTCCATCCGCTTGGACGTGTGTCCCATCCCTTTTGCCAAACGACCTCCACCGCATCTCCAAGACCTCCACCCTCGTTCCGCACCAAGGTGCTCAACAGATCCAGCTGTTCTTGGCCAAACTCTTCATCAAGGCCCCACACCAGCACCAAGGTTCCAAGCCTCGAACGCCCAGCACCTGACGGTCTTCATCGTGCGGAAGCTCCAACGGTGTATCACGTCAGGTGCCTTGTTTGTCCACCACGTGCACATGGCTAGACTCCATTAGACTCCCCCGAAAATGAGCGGAGGAGCTACTGAAAATGTTTCATCTCATCTACCATGATTTGCAGCATCTATATAGAGTTATTTCATGTGTTTTCTAATCTTTCTAATTACAGTCCAGTCCAACCTGGACTGGAGGGGATCACAGTGCACCACTCCACTTGACCCGACTTGACAAAACCAGAGATGTGGGGCACGCCATTCCAAAGAATCGGCAAAGAAATGTTCCAGCTGTTCAGACTATGCATGTCCAAACCACAACTATCTCCAACCAAAAGGTCCACCCTCTCAGATCCTCCATACAGCCCGAACAGATGACTCGTCTCCGGCGCCGCCTTCGGCCGCGTTCGTCGCGGCGATCCGCGGCACCTGGCCGGCACGTGCCGGTCCCGAGTGCCGAAGCGGAGAGAGGTGCAATGGATCCACAGCGATGATCTTCATGTCGGGATCGAAGCATGAAGAAGAAGAAGCAGGAGGAAGGAGAAAGTGTTTGCAATGTCGGAGCCATTCTCCTTCATATTGTGTGTTCTCCCAAATGCCTGCAAAGAACGATTTAAAGAAATGCTGGTGATGCGTAAACAGAATCCCGCATCACTAGCATTTTTTAGCCCTTCTAATGGGTTGATTGACTCTGGAAGTCTTGGTTCTGAATGAACCCAATCAAGCATGCCAACAGAATCAACCGCATCCACTTGAACCAACCAGCCTTTCGCCGGCGGCGGGCCCTGATCGCATACAGCGGTGGGATGCGCCCAGGCAGGAGATGAACGGATGTTTCCAAACAGCAGAAAACGCTCACTGATTCCTGAGCCCTGCCAAAACGCCGCATAAGTGGTGCAAAGAAAATCATCAAAGTATTCCTTTTTCCAGTGGGTCTCTTCTGCAGAAGAACCCCATCTGGCCTGAACTGTTTGATATCAAAACTGCTTAAGCATGGCTGCGGACTTCTCAGTCAGTTCAGGGCTCCCAAACGGTTGTAGCCAGTACCCCAAAGGCCCATCAGGTGCTCGCGGACGAGCGGCCTCGGAGGAGTAAGGTGTGCACAACTGCATGAGGGGCCGTCCGGACCGGGTCTCCCGATTGCACACGGCTGCCGTGGGTGGTATAGACTTCGTTGGGATGATGTGGTGGTGCTGTGGTGCTGTGCAGCAATTCGCATGGATTGGCAGGTATCTGCACACTTCCGTCAACAAGAAAGAGTACACTGCCTAAATAAGAGAAAACAAAAAGAACCCAACACATCGAATTGCCAAGCTTCTTGATTCAAGCCTTTGGAATTGGATCACCAAAACTTCCTACCACAGATTCATCTCAATATCCAAGCAAATCTATTTTGCCTCCTCAGTTCTTCCTGGATCCACCCCCAGGCCACACCCCCGATCTGATCCACGACCCGCAGAAAAAGGTGTCCGGTGTCCGCACGTAGTAGTCGGACCACAAGGCCCGCCGAAAGGGCGCCACGAAGGGCGCCACGCTGCGCCGCCCGCGCCTGGGCCGTTCTCCGGAGCTTTCCGTCCGACGCCCTCCGACACCGATGCCCGGCACCCAGTGGATGATGGGGACCTGGTTACAGGGCCGAAATCATCTCAATTCAGCGGCTTAGAATCTTCTTTGCCGGCTATACTGGTATAGCTGGAACACATCGGAGCCAATTCCCCCTCAAAGTCCATAAGAATTTTCACCATCCATAGGTGTCATAGGTTTCACTTGGCCAATCTCAATGGTTCAGAGCTCGGTAGATTCAATACCTGAAGGAAATAGACACCTCGAACCTGCGTCTGCAATATCAAAGCTGTGCTCATCTGGGTGGATAATATCTTTTTTCGGGAAGCAAACCTGCCTCTCCACCGTCAGCAAAAGCGCTTTTTTCGCCCTCGCGCCTCACAACTCCACGTCTTTTGCGGTCTCTAAGCGACGGAAGGCTTCCTGGTTGGCCTCATTCCAACTGCCTTCCCACACGCCATCGTCGTCGTTGAAGATCAACACCAAGTTGTGTTTGGGATCCTGAGACACGACTTCTTGGTCGATTTGCCCACTTCGTGCTTCGACACGACTTCTGCAAACGAAGAAGTAGCTATAGGTATATCTCATCCCCTGGGTCCAGTGGGAGGATGATGGGGCCGGTACGATTGCAGGCCGACATCTTAACAAAAAAGGTGATCATCTTTTACCGACTGTTATAGGTCATTCGTTTTGTGTGTCTGTGCTTGTGAGGCCGACGGCCGACCGGTTCAACCCGACCCGCCGACTCGTTTTTGGGGCCGTTGCAAGACCAACGGCGTCCGTTTTGAGTTGCAACGGCCGCGGTCCAATGTCCTTTGGCAATCGAAAAATATGCGTTTTGCAGGGCTAAAGCTTTGGATGAGTAGCAATGTTTAAAGAATTCGAACACCAAAGCCTTTATATTGCGGACGGTTACACACCACTGGAAGGACTTGACCCATCACCGCTACCAAAGTCTTTATAAATTTACCCAATAAATTAACAAAAAGAAGAAAAACACGATAAGCCGCTTGAAGCGCAGCTAAGCCTCTCGTTCGGGGATCTGCTTCTGGGCTAACGACAACACATGCTGCTCAAAGCAAGAGCTGCTCTCTTTGCATGTCCTCACACTGAGACGCAGAGAAGTGATTAGCGAGGTCAGAAGTGGTTTTGCAAAATCGTACATCTGTGACGCTTCTTGGAGACGAACCAGAGAAACCTGGAGACGAACAAGTGATCCATTCTTGGAGCATTGGAGAATCATCTCTACAGACAGACTTGGTAAAGAAGTACTCGTCTCCCCCCTTTTGCCACAAGTTTGGCGCGTCTGGTACGTCAAAGTGGCATAGGAGAGTTCCACCCAATCATTTCGGAGCTTTCATCATGTCGGAAAACGGTCGCTACAGGGCCCAAAAAATGCCTCCCATGAAGTGACGAAGTGACGAAGTGCTACTTCAGACCATCTGAGGTCCAGCCTCCGACTCGCCGAAACCGACACTCGCCGAACCCTTCCTGCTTCACCCGAGCGGCAGATGCCACTGGCGCAGCTGGCGCTTCTCCACCGCGGGGCTTTGCGCGATGGGCGCCAGCAGCAGATCCGGTGCCACCCGAAGGATCGGCGGCGACAGATCGGTGGCGTGGCCTTTTCGGAAGGACTTTCGGCGGGCAGAACATGGTGGAAGGAGAGAAGAACATAGGAAGAGGTGCCTTTTCTATTTCACTCTCAGCTTCATATTGACGGCGAGATGAAGGAGATGTAGAATTGATGTGTACCATTTAAATCGTGAGAATGTTTGTTCACCTGCATTGCGAGCCTTTATTGTTGGATGAGTGCGTTCGGAGAAGTATGGCAGTATATATCGATCATTGGAGTTCGGATTCGAGGTGGTGATGTCATTCTCGCACTTGTATTGGATGTGAGAACGCATCAGAAAAAGCACCATAACAAATGATGTAGACAGTTGATTCATCAAACTCCCCCGTTTGGATGCGCGCACTTGCGAGTCGGAACGCACCCACGCACTGTCTCTGTTCTCAGGTGGAACGGGTACAGGTGGGTATAACAAAACGACCTCTTCATGCGCCGTGGTTGGCTTGAGGAGAGGATGACATACCAGTCAGTATGTTCCTTGGCTCCTGAAGCGCTCGGGTGTTCGTGACAGCCTACAGAAGTACTCTGTCCAAAAGGAAGAGTTCAAACTCGTCCAACGCGTTGCAGTACAGCCTATAGGCATGTGCATTTTGAAGGGAGACCCCCTGTCTGGGCCCTGGATGGGTAGACTGATCTACGGGATTTCTGTGTGTCTTCCAGGGTGTTGGAACGCCTGGTGTCGGTCTTCCTATTTGAGCTCAACACCCACAGAGGCCTCCTCGAGCCACCTCACCCCGCCCCGCGTGCCCCGCACAAATCCCGCGCGCCGAGCCCGCCGTGTGGACGTGAACGCTTGGTGGAGCGTTCCAGGCGCTTCGCGAGCCAACGCTCCAAGCGCAGCTCGTGGCGCGGGGGCGGATGCGCCACCAGCTCTTCCAAGCCTGCAAAGAAAACACCAAAGCAGGGCATAGACAGGCCGTTGATGTTTTCTCAGCTTGGGCAAGAGAAGCTTGGCAACACGAGGCAGGGTTTTGAGTTGAAAAGTAGACAAAAATACACCCTAAGAATTAGAACATACTAGTTACTAGGAATAGAACCCACTTGAGATGTTCCACACTCTGAAATTTTGCGCCTTCCCACACTCCTCCGAGAGTTGAAATACTTGACTAGGACTAGAATCCCACGGACCCCCGGCACCCAAGTCCATGTCACCGCCGGGCAGCTCAGGTTTGCCAGCACGTGCAACACCAAATGCACGTGGCTGGCTTCATAGGGCTCCCGAAGGAAGAGCGACTCGAGGAAGGTCAAACGGCTTTGGTTTAGGCCTTGAAAGGTCGGAAAGGCGCCAAACGGCACCAAAAGGCGCCGAACTGGGGGTGGTTCATGGATACCCCGAATCACCTCTAAGGAGCTATAGTTATAGACACCCCTGTTCCAGGGGGGCCTGGCATAGGAGTGTGTGTTTTTGGGGGATCCCAACACCCCGTCGTACATCCAGTGAACGGCGATTGTAGATCAAATGATCCAACATCTTTGTGGTTCGGTGCGTCACTCGTGTCTTCATGGGTTACTCGTTGGACGGTCGTTCTCATACACTCATGGGTGGATCCAAAGCGTACAGCACACAATGAACTGCCAAGGGCACTCACGCTACAGCATGGAAAAGAATCGAGGACAAGGATGATAAGGATGGCCTTGGCAAGAAAGTCCTATATTCTGGAAGGTAATACAGAAGGAATCTATGGTGGTGTGTAGCAGGATCAGTCGCCAAGGATCCGATCGCTGTGGGAAGGAGGGCGGAAGAACTTATTGGAAGTCATACGAAGGAGCAAGGGCACTGCCTTCTGCAGGAGCAAGAAGGACAAGAAGGAGCACAGCAACCTTCGACAAAGACATGAACCAGGGTGCTCGGTCTTTCCTGACAGCCAAAGGCTCCATCCGCAGTCGCTTCAAAATTTGACGTCTGCAGTCCTGCTCGGGCTCGTCCCAGACACACGAAGAGCATCCCAAACCCTCCAAGCTATTCCATTATATGTTTTCATGCTCGGCAGCCCATGTGTTTGTGAGAACAGCTTCATCGCCTCAAATGTCTCATGCTTGGAGTATCCAGAATCCGTTTTTGCAAGAACTCCGGCCCTCTGGAGAGCTCGCTGAATGTCCTGCATTGCTCCATCGCCTTTGCTCACCTGCCATACCCCAGTAAATGAGGTTGAAAGAAAGGCTTCCCGAAGCTTGGCTTGTATGTTGCTGTTCGTCGCTCCCTGAGCTGGCAGAAAACCTTGTTTTCTTAGCGCCGTTTTGTTTTTGCTTGCATTCACAAAACACAGCAGTGCTTCAGGGAGATCCGCGTTTAACTCATCATCTAGGTACCCCAAACGCCGTAGGGCCTGCGCTACCATCTGAGGCGAATCCGACAACATGAATGGGCCACCACCCTTGAAAATGCTCCGTGAAAGTGCGTTCCCGTAGGTTTGGGCGTTGCTCTTACTCTTGCGGCCCCCAAGAGTTGCGGGCAAAAAGTATGCAAGCTGTCCAAACTCAGTGTAGTGAACCCATGATGAAAGCCGTGAATCAGGTCCGATGACTTCTTCGATTGCGTTCAGGCTCAACGCAGCTGGAAACACGACCAGCGAACCAACGCAATTTGCATACCAGAATTTTGCAATGCTTTGTATTGTGTGGCCTTCCCGTCCGTAGCCAAGGCCATCAAGAAAGTCTTTCACCACTGCCAGGCGAGCATCAAACACTTCACGTGAGACGCTGTAAAGGAAAGGGTCAGCCAACTGCACTGAGCCTGCTCCATCCTCATGAAGAAGAGCCCTAACTTTGGGACCCACATTGTATTCCTTATTTGTTTGTAGCCTCACTGTGCGAACACCGCCCACCTCAAACGCTCGAACAAGCGACTTTTTGCTTGCTGGGACAAACACAAAACAGCTAGTTCCTGAGCGCTCCACTTCAAGTATGGTCTTGATGAAGTCTGAGTCAGAGGTGACCAAGCCCACACATTCAAAGCCAAGACTGGAAGCTTCTGTCAAGGCCCGGCTGATTGCCTCATCAGTGGCCTCATGCAAAAGATCAGCTGACCGCCGAACTGGTTGGAATTCGATGTTCATGTCTTTAAAGAATTCCTTCCACTTCTTGTTGTCAGCCCGCTCAGGCTCGCAGAAGAATCTGGTACGAACATGCCTCCCTCCTATCTCCAAATACGCGATAGCCTCTCGAATTTCATCCATTGTATGCACATCGCCATCCACCAGCAGTTCAGCCCTAGAAGACCGAAGAGCCACACGGCTGCATCTACCTCCAAGGTCACGTCTGGCACTCGTCCGCGCTGTCAAAGATCCTGAAGATCCAAGGGCTCCAAGCGCTAAGAGGTGCCAAGGACAACGTTGGCAAGCAGTTCCACAAGAGTGCTGTCTGTCTGCAGTGGCCCACCTCTTCTCCAGGTGATGCTCATGAGGAAGTGCCGGTGAAATGTTTACACGAAGGTGGGCCAAGAAACATGCCGGTCCACTCATCAGCGCCATTGAAAAAGGTCGTTGAGATAAAGATGTGATCTGCACTCAAGCGGCTCTCATTCTATGTCGTACTTGCCTACTTTGAAGAGCTTATCTCTGACTTCTGTAAACTTGTCTTGCTGGAAAGACGTTTCTGTTGCTGTTGGCCTTTTCTCTGAGGCCTCCATCAAGCTGGGAACAGGCGAGGAACGTTGGTCGTTGCCGTTCCAACGAACTGGTGGACCGCTTGAAGCGCAACGGCCGTCACCAGACCACCGCTCACCACCCACCATTTCGAGACCAATACAAACAAAATACCAAGACCAAGACCTAAGCCTGGAAGAAATAAATCACCCAGTTCAGTCAGAAGTCACCTCCTCCTAAGTAACTCGAAAACCGAAAGAACTCCGACTTGACACGTCCACCACCGTCCGCCTAACCCATAGTCGAGAATTCAAACCCATACAAAACACCAGACCGACCAGACCCACCAGACCCCCGCCCAACCTGCTGCGTTCGTTCTTCTTGGTGTCGTTTGTTGGTCGCACCTTCCGCGGTCCAGGCCCTCGCCAACATCGAGAGCCGCCCCCAGGCGGTCAAAAACATCAGATCCTGGGGTGTTCCAAGAACGCACATCGAAGGGACAAAGAGCATAAAGCTGACTAGTGCCACTTTGAACTTTTAGCACATCCGGGGCTGGAATGCAAAAATCCGGAAGCTCACTTCGGGGGGCGAAGCGAGACCCTCGTTTTCCTACTTTCGTCGCACCAGGGAGATGAAAAGCTCGAACAGAAATATGGTGTTGATGGAGTTTGGAAGAGCAATTTTCCTGAGGCTTGGAAAGACGATGGCTTCAGAAGACCAGTCCGGTCCCATGCTTCATGGGAAAACCGACTATCCGGTCCCACGTGGTGTAAAAAAGGAAAGAGGAAGTACACAAAGCAATCTGTTAAGATTTAGCCACCCATGAAGATCCTCTTTCCTTGAAGAGGAAGCAATCTGTTGGCCACCCATGAAGATCTCTTCTGAATGCTTTCAATGCCGTGAACGATCTGAGAGCTGGGTGTCACAAGACCAGGCGCAGGTCGGGTCACTGGGCGACTGGCAGGATACATGTGTTGTCATTGGTCATTGGTCATTGTCTGTTCACTTGTCGGTCATTGGCCAAGCACTGGAAGCCCTACAGCAGTGACTCTGTAGAGGCTGGCTGGCTGGATGGCGTATTCCTCCAAACCCTTGAGCTACCCACTACCCCGGTTCCCCAACGACCAGCGAAAGGTCAGTGCACCGGACCACACCCGGAAGCCGCGGTTCCCGCGCCATGTATGAACATCGATCGCCAGGACTCGTAGGTGGGGGTCCGTCGGTCCCGGCCACACACGGTGGCGTTGTGGGTCTGCAGGTAGCGTCGGATGCTCAGCAAGGCCTCCAGGAAGAAGGGATGCCTTGAGCTGTCTGGGAGGCCATGAGCTGTCTTTCTTCCCCAAACCCAGTGAAGTTCACGCCCGAGCTCTTCACACTAGACATGGAGTCGCACCGCGGCCCAAATACAGTAACAGAGGGGGAAGCTCAAAGATGTTTTTCTATTGACTCTATTCTCGACCTGACTGACAATCCGTCAGAAAAATTGTTGTTTCAGACGCGGTTTGCCGGCCAAAACACGTTTTTTCATAAATATATAATTGCATGAGAGTTTGGCCCCTCATGAGAGAACATGGCCTACTCCACGTTGCGTGCTTCACGTCGGATCCATCTCTCTCTCTCTCTCTCCCTCTCTTGTGCGGTTGCCCGCCCCTTTCGAACTTGACAAACGCCACCGACCGTCGTTCGTCCGTCGTTTCTACGGCCAGAACCGGCCGCACCGGACCGTCGTCCGTCCAGGACACCGTGGAGCGGTGGAGATCATGAGGTCGGTGTCCACGCCGTACGGTTCCAGGAAACCTCCACGCCCTCGGATATCCTCCTGGCGTCGGCTCAGGCGAAGACCAAACACGGCATCTTGCGACAAAAACGGCTGTCGGCAAGGAGGTGCAGGAGGCCGCGCCTCACTGACACATGGGATCGTGAAGGATGTTTTGGTTGTGTTGGTAGGGGAAGTCTTCGGAAAAGCGCAAAATGGTTTTCGAAAAAGCCGTTACATAAGTTATATAAGCATTGCTGTTGGATTTGGCAGCTAAGCAGCTAAGCCATTTTCCAAGCAGCTATGTCTGTGCAAGCTTCTGGAATTGGCGATCTATCCACACTCAACCTGGTGATCGAGTTCGGATTCCTTCAACAAGAAAAGTCCAAAAGCCCAAGTCTTTTAAGAACTCCATGAAAGCATCACAGTCTTCCAACATCAATCCATCACATGTCCTGGAGGTGTTGTATCGATATCATGATGTCACCCTTTCTGATACAAGCCACATTCCCAGCACCTTCCTTGCTGTTCCAACACCGACAACTGTCGGGATCCTTGCTCTTCCCACCGGTCTCACCGCCCTCCGCGGGGTGCTCGGAGCTCTGCGCCGGCCTCGTCCGGTCGGCTGATGGACGCCAGCACCGCCAGGGGCCTTTCTCCGGTCGCATCGCTGCTGACGGCGTCCAGGAAGGCGTCCAGGGAGCCCACAGGCATGGTGTCCTCAGGGGTCGGTTCAAAGAGGGAGATCTATCTGGGGAGGGCAGGAGTATTCTTTGAAAAGAGGTTGGTTGGTTAGTGCTTTTTGGTCTAGGTTGGGCGGCTCCAAAGGCATCGACTTTGGATGGATGTTGAGGTTTTGGAAGTTGTGTCTTTGGGCCCACTTGCTGCGCAGATTCGATGATGTGACGCTTTCTCAGGTCCACCCGGCCGGCAAAGAACTGGACTGTGCATGCCCCACAAAATGGAAGAAGTTTTGCACCTTAGGACTCAATAGGCTGGAGAGAAAAGGACTCACTAATGCCCCTACCCACTGAATCCAGGCATCCATATCAGCATAAACACCACCATGGACGTAGAGGATGGCATAGGTGGAGAGGTCTGCTTGAGAGATTTTTGCATCCTGAGATTGGGCAACACGGGGGTTCGAAGAAGGACACCCCGAGTCAAAGCACCATGTTCAAAAACTGCAGACATGTTGTTTTGTCTTTGCTTTCTATCTGAAAAAGAAAGGCACTAAGACAAAGTGCTTTGAGATCAATTGGATTGTGTGCAATCCTTCAAACACGGCTGCGAGTCAAAAGTGGAATGTGCCATTGTTTGTGCTTTTGTTTATGCGATGATGTCCTCAACACGCCAGGCGTCCAAACATTGGGGAATCCAATGATAGAACTCCTCCAACCTGGGCGAGACCAAGCCAACGATTTCCCGAGCCACGAACACGATGTGTCTATGCCTGGAGCTACCTGAACAGCCCTTCAAAAGCTCAAAACTGCACATCTGATGAATGAATGAACATGGAAAAGATGATGATAACTAGTAGCTTCTTGCTACTAGTAGCCATGCCCTTTGTTACTAGTAGCGATGCCAGGAGCTACGTGCGTAGCTTCTTCTTCTGCAAAAGGACTCTGGCAGCTCCTCCTTAAACAACTTCGCCTCTTCCTCGTCCGTCCAAAAGCGCCACCGCCACCGGCCGTGCGCTGCCGCCCGCTGCCAGAAGCCGCTCAAGCGCCGCCACTCCGGCGGCCAGGCGTCGGCGTGGGCCGTGCGGTACTGCTGGTGGATGACGCGCACGTACGGCGCAACCGGCACAGCCGGCGGCACGGCGTCCGGCTCCTGTGGAGAGGGAGAGAGAGGTGAGAAGAAAGAGACCATGGGATGGGCTGAGGTCGATGTCGCAACTTCAATCACCAATTTCAAACCAGGTAATAGCCGCTGAAACAGTTTGTGCTTTGGTGTTCAACTCTATTTGTTGCTTCAATACCCTTTGATCTGGTTCTGGTTCTGGTGCTTGTCCTTTCATCTCTGACGGCGTCACTTCTGACTGCCAGTGCCGCCCCGTGGCCGCATCCGAACGGCCTCGGTGAACCGCCCCGACCCCCAGACCGCGCGCGGTCGTCCTCGGTCAACCGCGCGTGGCTCGCAGCGGTCAGTCCAAGCCACTGAACCACGGCTGCGCTGCGGAGCTTCAGCATCCAAATGTCCAATGTCCATGTGGTCACTCAGAGTGGGAAAGTGACATGTGGTCGCTCAGTCTGAGGGCAGGTGTGGCCCTAAATAGGCTTGGAAATCTTGTGATTCTCTGCATGAAAAAGAGGCGTCCTTGGGGGGAGGCCCTGTCGTTTTTGTTTGACGATGTGCTGCTTCGAGCTCCAATAGAAAGCTGCTTAGCTCTGGCATCGTTTTTGAAGCACCCGAGGATAAATTTTACAGGACAGACATTCAGGCTCTGGGTCCCGTCCACCTGGTGTTCCCGACCGACTGTAGTTGCCTCGCAAAATCCCGTGTTCAATTTGAGGCGGCCGTGTTTCGTGGTGATTCAGTGACCAGGTCGTCCTATCATGACTTCATATATCATCCATGATTGTCTTCCACTCTTGGGCAAGCAGCGCCGGGTCCGGCGCCGGACCCTGGCGCGGTCCGTTTTCCAACGGCTGCGTGCCGAGAGCGCGGAATAGATCGCGCGCTTCAAAGGAGCAACGGATTCCTCCAGCGTGAACGATTGAGGGAAAGGTGAAAGTTCACAGTGGAAAAAAGAACCTATCGCAGTCTCAATCCTACACAGGGTGATACGGAAGACACGGTGTCCACCGGCGTTCCCCTCGGTGTTCACCGGTGACCGGGTTGACCGGGTCTCGGTGAGGCCCGCACCAAAGCAAAGCTGGGACCTGGGTGCTTTTCGCGGTCACAGCGCCGGTCAGTCCCAGGCCCCCCCCGGGTGTTTGACCCTTTGGATTGGGGAAAAAGGAGAGGGTACATCTAGCATGGTCAAGGGCGATTCATGGTACTACTTAAATGATCTTATCTCTGTGAGTCGATACCTTCATACTATTGACCACTGATGGACTGCAAAGAGGGAGATCTCCTGGCGAAGCTGCACGAAGTTACGTCTGATATGGCTTCCTTCAGCGCCGGTGCGGTCCGAGATGTGCTGAGATGTGCCACTAAGTATCTATTCCCGATCGTCGCACGAAGGTGGCCTGGGTGTTTTTCATTGTTTGCCACATCCTTGGATCGCGATATTCCTTCGTGTGGATTCACGTGGTCAACAAAAAGTGAAGAAACCTGCATCTGGGTCTTATTGAAATAGGACGAATATGATGGTAAGCCAATTTTTCCTAAGCAAACATAACATCAACGTAGTACCACAAGCTAGAGGGTCCACAAAGCACCAACTTCTAAATTTGAGGAACCCAATTGAGAGAGAGAAACTCCTTTTCAGAGCACCACAAGCAGCTCATTCTGCGAAATCCAAGAACTTCCCCACCTCTCCCACATCTCCTTTCTTCCATCCT